ATCTATCTATCTATCTATCTATCTATCTATCTATCTATCTATCTATCATCTTTTTTTGACTGAGCTTCTCTTTTTATTTTTACTATCACTGGATTTGGAGCTGCACAAAAATACAGCTGTTAACAGTATCTGCACAAAAAGAGTTAAACAATTGTGCATGATGCATACGTATGCTAAAGGTGGTGAAGGACACCAGTGGGGGGAAATGGAAAGTCTGGCTATACCTTTGGCAGTCATTAATGTGAGAAAAAGGTCCAACAGCAGAATGAAGTAATTCGTCTCAGCAGCAGGAGGTGAGACAGAGGTGAGGGTGATTTAGTGGGATTTGGGACAGGGATACATACCAAGGAGCTAAGCAGCACACAGGCAGCCTCAATAAGAAAGACCACAATATAAACACACAGCAAATAGAAGGCTGCAATGATGTGGAAATCAGACACGAGAACATCTTGTGATGCGAACGCTACAGGCACTGTTGTACTCACATCCAAAAGAGTAATTCTGTCTTGTGTGAGAGAGAGATCAAATGGGGACCTGTAGAAGTTACATAAACTATTTAACATAGTTTTTCTAATACTTTAATACCATATAACTGTGGCTATTTTCAGCCTATTGTTCAGCTGCTGGATGGAATATCAGGTTATGCAAGACGTAAGTTTAATGGCAGAGAAACAGAAGAAAAAACAGGAACCTCTCTGTGCTATTCAACAGAGACGGAGGTGGCATCGAAAAGCTGGTGCTGCGTAACGGGACAAGAGGAGAGAGGGAAACACAATTATCCAGCTGTTTTTTGTTTTTTTTTAAGAGAGAGAAGGGGGTAGTGATTTTGAAACAGCGGGGATCTGATGGGGACAAAAACGTTCTCTTTGTGCAAAATAGATTGGAGGAGTTACAGCAGGAAGGTGTGAGGGTCTGAGTCAGTTTGTGTGTTCATTTTGTCTGTGGACACCCCCATGCTGCGCTTTAACATGGCAGGAATGTTGGAGAAGCTTCTTCAGACTCTCCACTAGCTCACATCCTCAACTAACACTCAAACGAGAAGGAGGAAGGTCTGATTTCAAAATGTAGAGCGAAAAATAGAGGGTTTGGCTAAAGCCCCACCTGGAACAGGTTGATTTGAAGCTGTTTCAGGCAGATAACCTCCACAATCTCTGCTTTGGACAAGGTGGCATTCGTTTGATGAGAACATGAAATAGCCCCAAAAAATCAAATTATCATTTGGTGGATTTTCACTTGTAGTTTTCATAAACTGGGTCCGTCTCTTCTGTGGAGTCTTTTTTTCTGCTCTAACTACTTTGGATGATGTGGATCAAGCAGATTCTTGAAGCCACTAATGGTACACATCACATGGCTGACGAGCGCTTCATGAATCTTCTTGAGGCTTTTTCTTTTATTGCAGTTAAACAGATTCTTCTGAGAGTCAATACTTAAATGTTTAATGTCAGCAAAACTAAAACTTAACTTCTGCTCTTCCTGTTATCTGCCGTTTATCAATTATATCACAAACATACACAGTAACCACTTAAAAACAAGCAATCTAATCTTAAAGCAGATCTTATTGTCATAATATCATTATACCTTTTTAGGTTTACCAAGAAAATAAAGCAGCTAAATGAGAATTCTTCGAGCTGTGAATTCATATATTTTGCCAGCATTTTCTCTCATCAGTTAATGGAGAGATAATCTACCTTTGTTTCTTCAGGCTTTTTTTTACCTCTCCCTCTGTTCTGTTACTCTCTAATAATTTTACGAAACATTTAAATGTTTATTTTCTGAGACATAATTTAATAAAGAGTCAGTTGGCTCTCATAGGAGATGCAAGTGCTTCTATTCTACCACTTTATGCTGATGTAGGTGTTAACAACTTGTTAAGGACCAGCCTCAGGGGCCTAGAGTTCCTTTTTCTGAGGGGCACCATGGCGCCAAGTGCCTTATCCTTGAGTGAACCTTCTGTTTTATACCTCACCACAGGTGGCCTTTTAAGCACGGATGTCTGTATTTCTGTCTAGGAAAAAGAGAAAGACATGCAACTGTATGTGTGGACACATGACCACAGGAGTGTGCGTGCACTGTACGTGTGCTCGTTTTCACATGTAAATCTTGTTTGTTGCAGTCACGCATTAAGGTCCACGTGGGACCTGTTTGAACTGTTGCCCCACCAGGCACAATTATGCAGTGTGGGTGGAGAGTGTGTGTGACCCATTCAGCATCCATTAACAGCAAGTCAGACCTCACAAGCTAGTGTTAACTGGTAGAAAACACAATGGTGAGTGAGTGAGTGAATGAGTATGTGTGTGTTTGTGTGTCAGAGTGTGATTTGGCATTGAGAGACCAGGGTGTCCAGCCAGAGAAGTGATCGGAATACCAGTCAGGATTAGTCTCAGGATCAAGATCATAAGATAATCCGTCCCACTTTCATAACAAATAAACAAATTTCTGACTTAATGAGTAAAGAAGACATTTCAGTTGTTATGTGTCTGTACATGTGCACATGAGTGGTGCTTCGTTTGGTTTGAAAGGCTGCAGGGTGACAGCTTTTGCAGATTAATGCTTTTGTCATTTTTGATAATCAATCCAAACAGTGTTACTGGTTATGTACGTTTTATTCACTCTGCTTTAACATAATGGAGAACTAGAATACCGAAAATATTGACCTATGATCAATTATACTATTCCAATATACTTTTTACTTCTACCTATGTACGGGATAGATGGATACATGCAAATATACCTGTGCCCGAATCCCACTGCCTTCATTCACATAAGTGAGGCGTTTATGGGTTACAGCTACAAGTGTCTTCTATTCTAAACGTTACATCATCTCTGATGAGTCACATGTTCTCCATTAGCAGAACTCTTACTCTTGTATGTATTGGAGAGAAAACGGGACTAACAAGATTTTTTTCTTAAACGGTAACTCAGCAGGCAGCTGAGAGAGAAAGAGCATCAAGTACTTTCAAGAGCAGAGGTCTGGGATGAACCTCTCACTGCTCCCCCCGCTCATTTTTCTTTGCTTTGTTGTGGAGTATGCCAGCTTACTCAATGTTGTTGATTAACTGTATTTTTGGGCTGCTGTTGATGACAGAGCAGACGGCAGAGTCAGTTTGAACCACTTCAGTCCGGGTGGCTGCGGGAAGATGAATATATTTTTGAACATTGGGAATTTCAATAATTGACAAAGAATTATGTAATAGGAAATAACTCATTATTCTTTAACTCCGTTCTGTAGGTCAGCCATTTGTTTTACTTTAAAAAAAATTCATATCACATCATGTGGTCATGCCAGCATACCACAGAGATGTTACTGGAGTCGTTGGCAACAGATCCACCTGTACAGCGCTATAAACCACCTTGTGTCTCTCTTCCACCGCACCTTTTTTTCAGGTTTCATCTCTTAACGAAAGGGATTAAACCACGGACTGAGCCCAGTGGACATTCCTGCTGCATGGGCCTGTCCGAGAGGCACTCACTTTTTCCAAAGCGATCCAGTTTCACTCAGAAAGTCTAGCAGGGGACACCCAGGTGATGCTGGGTATTATGTCCTACTGATTTGATCATGCTTCTAAATACTTCCTCCTCTTTTCCCTTTTTATTCCTTCTCCTAGGTTGAGTTTATCCAGAATCTCAAAATACCGACATTCCTCCTACATCCACACCCGCCCTGATCTCTCTCTCATGGACTCCAACCAGATCCCGCAGGAAGACGCACCTGTTGTTGTCGGGAGGGGGCTGTTGCATAAGGATTCCTCAACAAAGTTGTCTGACCTGCCGACTGGCCGAAGCCTCGATGTGTTCCCGGGACCGGACGTGGTGCGGCGGCGGGGGTCCCGGGGACGCCGCCACGCCAACAGCATTGGCGGGAGGAGCCACAGCCACCTGATGAGGGTCGGGTGTGTCCTGGGTACCTGTCAGGTGCACAACCTCAGCCATCGGCTCTACCAATTGATTGGACAGAGTGGGAGAGAAGATTCCTCCCCCATTAACCCCCGCAGTCCTCATAGTTACGGCTAAGAGGGCTCATCTTGTCTTTTATAAGCAAGTCCTAAAAATTAGTTAGTTGTTCCCCTCCTGGATTGGTACGCTGACATGGCCCAAAATAAGAGTTAATTATGGTTTATTACATATTTAGTCTTATCGTTACCATTGAGACTGTAATTACTCTTCACAAAATGACCTGCTCACCCAAAAAGTACAAAAACATTAGCAGTTGGTTCTACTGTTTCAAGGATTGCTGTAATATTGACAAAGGTTGTTTGTCAAAGCTACGTACTATAGATCAATACTGTCTAATTTCATGGACATTTGTTAAGCTATCCAGTTTCTTTTTTTATTGAAAAGGTAGTCATAGAGGTATGTATTGGATATTTGGGCCTTTGATGAAGGCTGGACACATGGTCAGTTATTTTGCTTTTCAATCAAACTGGTAAGCTTTAGACATCTAAGGATTCATTTGATCGATCGTCTCATATTCAAATTCCAAATTATCTTGTTTTTTGTCTCTAGATACATGTATTAGAAGGTAAATAACTTCCTTCAATTAATATGAGAATCACTGTGATAACAGAGGGGTGTGTTTAACCATACCTTCTGCTTTATCTACATCAAAAAATGTCATCTGTTGCTGAGGATTTTAAAGGGACCACATTTTGCATGGAAAAGTTGGATGAATCAAATAGTTTAAAAAAACTAACTACTAGTTTAATAAGACAAAATGACGGCTATGTTTTGGACTACATTTTAGTCTGGAGCACCTTTTCGAGTCTCACATTCTAGCGTCACATAAACATGTATCGTTAAACTGGGTGGAGGGAAGAAAACGTAGCTTCTTGCAAAGCTGTCAAAACAGTTACAATCCATCTGAAAATCCATGCACTTCACCAAGTTGAACACTAGAGGACATAGTCCACTGATCAAGGTCTAACTTTATCCTGACAGCAAAGTTTTTCTTCCAAAAGTCTTCAAATCCTGACTGAATGAATTGGTCTGTCAGGTTTTACGGCAGTGGTTCAGCAGGTTAACTGTTCTGTTGTTGGAAGAGTGCGAGTTGGGATTTGTTTTATTGGGTTTGTTTTTTGCTTAGTGGATGAAAGGGTCATAGTGAATTCATAGTTGCTGCAACTTCCATGTGCAGACAAATTAGCACACCATAGAAAATAACATCACTTGTTTAGAGAAGCAAAACAATCATAATAAGGGCTTAAAACATTTTTTTTTCTAACAGAGAAATGCCATTTTTCTATTTAACATGCAGTCACTTTATTGACTCGTAGAGGTCACATATATTTTATAATTATTTAGTGCAATATAAACATAGCTAACCAGTTAATTGACGATCCATACTTCTACCTCATTATCCATCAAATCTCTATAGACACGCTTCCATTTATGCTTCTTCTGCTTCACTGGCCTAGGTCTTTAAGAGATTCTGCCCATGCAGTTACAATTTTTTGGGCTGCATATGATTGGCTACTCACAGACCCAGTCCACCCTTGCAGAAATATGATTTTTCTGATTGTGCTACCATTCATAAAGAATAGACACAGCTTTTAATGAAAAGCCTCCTTTCTACCTGATGGAGGAAGATCTCTGTTTGTATCAAGAAATGTCAAGACTCGAAATTCATTTTCTAATAACATCCAACTAAGAATTAATATGCTGAACTTAAAGCTTCTGTACAAAAATCCAAATGTGTGGGACCACCGTATATACACAAAGTTCACATTTAACAGTTTACGCGTGATTGGATTTGGTTTTAGCAACACTTTAAGAGGTCGAACTAATCCGGCTAAACTGTTGACCTGTTTGATCATCTGACTGATTAGAAATATTTTGATCCCAGTAATTAATCTGACCGTTACAGCCCAATTAGCTATGAATACAGTGGTCAACACTGTAAAGAATATTTAATTTACTTTACATTTTACTGTTAACGCCTGTATGTCAATGGCGGTGTGGACAGCACTGTTATTGTTATTACTAGCAATAGTTTACTGTTGTATAACTACTGTCCAGTTAGAGTTTGGGCTCATACACATACATGGATACATGGATAGTTAAACTGTGAGCGAAGGGAAAACTGTGAACTAGAGAATCCTAGAATCCTCGGCCTCTGTATCTAATGCCTACTCTCATCATCAGAGTTTATCCCGCAGATCTGAATTGATCTGAGGTCAACACTAATCTCCGTGAAGTGCATCCATATCCCTCTGCTGACAACTAGCTTTAGTAAGGACATAAACCAGCAATAACCGCGTCAGACTCTTATAACCTCTCACCCAAAACCCCACAGACCACTCAATCTGCTTGAATAACAACTAACCCTAATCCCAGATTTGTCTGCACACTTCTTAACAGAGATTGTAGCTTGTCTTTTTGCTGCTGAACTGGAAACTAGACATCTGCAATGTAAAGTACTTTTATGTTGTGAATAGCTGTATCTTTGTGACTGCTATATGCTTTTGAACCTCAATCTAATGTCTCGCCTTGTGATATTTTGTGTTGAAATTTGCATAAACATTCATGCTATCGAACCTTTATGCAGTTTTTAACCTTCTGCTCTTTTGTCTGTGGCAGCCACTCCCTTTTTGATAGTATTTACAGCTCAGTTGTTAATAGAAATGCATTAAAGCACTTTATTGTTCTTATGTATGACTTGAATTTCAAAGATGTAGATTTATATTTTTAAATGAATGAGTCTGTTGTGTTTTGGATTTCCAATTGCCCTAATTCTTCACCCCACTCAAAGTGTCCTTTTGTAAACCATCTTTGCTACTTTGGTATTGTAATACATTGTTTTAAGATGGGTTTGCTGTGTAATAAAACCTTCACACTTGCTTTAACTCATAATAGTCTAAGAGATGAGTTGTTATTGTTTTACTGAGATGCATGTAGTTTACAAATTGAATTTTTCCCTCACATACTATTAGCTGGAGTGGAAACGATTGGAGATAAGCCAGATTCCTTTTATCCAGCAGCTACTTCCAGTTTCACAGCGGATGCCCAAGACTGCACCAGGGCACCTGTAAGATAGTGAGACGGTTAACAGTTATGTTGGGAGTAACAAATCAAAAGATTTTAAATGTAATGCAATAGATAAAGAAGAATTTGACCAATACCTGGCTCCATCATTTGTGGGATGCTGCACCACTGTCATAAAAACAAATGTCTGCCTGAGCCCTGCACATGTACAGCCATACACATACATGTATCATCATATTAAAGTTGGCACAAAGGTACCAGGAGACTGGAAACCAAAATCAGGAAGTACATCATCTCAGGCCCCCTGGTGCTGAAGTGCTGTTTGAGGCCCAAGAATATGTAACAACGTTAGGGATATTTCAATACAAGTAAAAAACACGTAATTTTAATGTTCACAAACAAACTTTTCAAGAGTTTCTTCAAGATAAAAGTGAGAGTGAGCAATGTCAAACTTGGCCATGACTATCTTATTTGACCAGCTCACCATGTTGCATCATCTGTTTACAGCAGCCATGTGGGGTCAAACCAGTCTGCGGCTCCAGAGGGTGTTTTGTTTTATTTTCAGGGTCCTTTTTTATGACAAGTCATTTTCAAGTTTATGAGATAATTGCAGGGCAAATACTGTGCAGTAAACGTTCATAAGGTCTGCCCTGATCTGGAAGTAGACCACCCTTTTAGGTCAAACATGTCACAGTTCATTGTGACATTTATGGGCAGCTCCCCAAATGACCAATCATACTATTGAGTTTGAGCAAGCTGCCTCCACCTCACAATGCACACCTACAGAGGAGAAAAGTGAAATAGTTATTTCAGATAAATGTCTGCTGACCCATGTGCGGCCTCCAGCAGTCTGTGGGCAGAATATTTTGATCATTTCTATGTGCCTGTTCAATACAACACACTCACCAGAAACTAATGCAATATCCAGTTTGCTGCTGTTTGCATTCATGGTCTAATAACTGTATTGTATCCAAAACTTCATCCAAAATTAAAATTAATTGTTCTTAACATAAAAGGCTATATATGTGAACGTTGTATAATCTATTCAGAGAATGAAAAGTGGGTGAAGGAAACAGCCGGCCAAACAGATTACATCCGTTCTCATAGAAATCAATACCCAACTAGGAAAACTGGGTCAATGACTCCCAGCCGATTAAAGTGTTTGAACCACCACACACAGACAACCAGAACATTTAATTATGTTGTTGTATGTCCTTCTATCTATTCATTTTCTGAACCACTATTTTCCCAAAGGGGGTCGCATAGGGACTGGAGCCTATGGGCAAGTCAATGGGCAAGAGGCGGAGTACAAACTGGACGGTCCGGCAGTCCATCGCAGGGCCTGCTGTAGTATGTTATGGGCATAATCATACCAAAACTTATGGCACTATTTCAGGATATTGTGTATATATACTGAAATAACTTGTTTTCCCTTGAGTGTGACTTGTCAGTAAAAATCCAGGTACAGGTGGAAAATATAGATTTGAAAAAACTCCAGCCTGTCCATTTGTATATCTCGTTGGTCATCATGACCAGACAAAATATGGAGGAAAAGTGACTGAGTCATTCTGCATAAGTTAAATACGTTAATCTGCTGATCATTGAAAAAGGCTTCCTGCAGTGAAGGGACACAGGCTCACATACAAACACGGACGTACAAAAACAAGGCCAACGGTCAACACAGGGTACTTCTTTGGGTCAGGTTTAGTTAAAATGTGACCGAGCATTGCTGTGAACTTCATGTGAGCCAACAAAACTCGCACGTCAAACACATTGGAGGGAATATATTCGGGTAAGGAAGCAGGCAGTCATCTCCAGAGCACCCGCACACCTGAACACTGCAGCTGCTGAGACTCCAGCCGTCAGCCATGAGGATCGTCAACATTGTGAGTTGTCCCATTTTACGTATACGTATTTGTCTTTGTAAAGAGCTGGATTCTTTATCTTTGGAAAGCCTGATCCCCCTGCACGTTTAAATACAACACTTTTTTTTAAATACAGGGACCAGACCCATCTCTGGCATATCGGCCAAACCTGGAGAAGAGTGAGGCCAAGGAGAAGACGGACTACAGAAATTTTGAAGTAATTAGAGGCATCATTATCTGAAGATTTGAACTAAATAGGCAACATCATGTTTCTTACCCTAACACTGACGAGGCAGGACAGAGATGCAGATCTATCAGTTTTAGATTTTTAACTTTGCTAAGGTTGCTGATGCCGCATAAACATGGAAAAACTGCAATGTGTAAAAAAAACGTCTATGTATGAAAACACTATTATTTCTGTATGATGGTTATGAGGTTTCTTTTCTTACCCAAAGCGAGTTTGTGAGTGCCACACTAACAAACAAATACATCGATAAATCATTTTTAAAAGTGTTTTGTGTGCACACAAATTGTGTGTCTTTCAGAGTGGGAGTCTATTTGACCGCGTCTTCAACACGTACAGCCTGATGCACACCCACCAGACTCTGGAGTTTGTAAAGCGAAAGGTGAGCAAAGTCAGAATGGCCCTGTGGAGGACAGGGATCAGTTCAGTCTGTTCATGTTTACAGAAAAGGACATTGTGCCTCTTGGAGTATTGAACGCTTTCTCTTTTTCCCTTTCATTGAGTCACTAATTAACAAATGCCATGCAAACTTTGCAAGTGGTGAAAGTGAATCAATGGTGTTTTTTTTTTCATCTGGACAAAACTTTGTTTAGTGAACCTGATGTTCCTTTGTGCACAAGTTCACGTTTTTCCGCTTCATTGATAGGATTCCAGACAGTGATGAGCGTTTTGCACACTTCTGTCGCATTTTTGATAAGATTATTTTTTAAAAAGACATTCTTTTCTAAAAGTGAACCAGTTAACAATCAAACATTACTCCCTTGAAACAAATGGCTGACGTAACGCATGTAGGGGAACATGCAGTGTTTGTTTTTACAACATTTTTTAAATCTGATATAGTTCCAGAATAATTACCAGTATTAAATATCTACATTTTTTTCTTAGATGTGCTCAGTGATTTAAACCCTCACTCAGACTCTAAGTGGTCTCTCCGCAGTACTCTGAATGGACCCGCTGCACTCACACTGAGATGAGGATGATGGAAGCCGTCATGTCTCTGGACCAGCTGGTGGATGAGTCTGATCCTGATGTGGACTTCCCAAACTCCTTTCACGCCTTCCAGACCGCTGAAGGCATCCGGCGGGATCATCCGGATAAAGGTACAAATGATGAGACAGAGAATAGAAAAACACTTCTGTCAGACCGGTGCAGAACTTCACCCAGTGATCCTCTGCAGATTGGTTCCAGCTGGTGGGTCTGATCCATGATGTTGGGAAGATCATGGCTCTGTGGGATGAACCGCAGGTAGGCTGAAGAAATGTGGCACTCCAGCTTCTTCGAACCAGAATATTCTCAATGAGGAGACTAAATGGAGTTCTTCATTATTGCATTATCTCACAATGCTTCTGTTTTTTCTAACTTTAGACATTTGACTCAATATGTACCAATAAAATGACTTTTCTTCTTTTATACAGAAATAAATCACTGAAACATGATTAATTGAACTGTGTTTTTTTTCACAGTGGGCTGTAGTGGGCGACACCTTCCCGGTGGGCTGCAAATTCCAAAATTCCATCGTGTTCAGAGACAAAACCTTCACAGATAATCCAGATGAAAAAAACCCAACATACAAGTTAGTTCTGCTCCAGCTGGATGTGAACATTGCTCTGTTTCTTTTTATATTTATCTCCCACTGCAATGAGTTTAATCTAATTTGACATATATTTACCCAAATGAGGAATAATTCAGTATTTTATTTTTATGTATTTTTCTCTTGTGAAATGTAAATGACAGCAAAACTTAACTAAACATATCTCCATATCCTCATGTTGTCCGGTGATAACATCTCCAGACTGGCTGTTTATTGTACTGGGGCATTTAACATTCTTCTTTTTCACTTTTAGTACTGAACATGGTATCTATAAACCAAACTGTGGCCTTGACCATGTCCTCATGTCCTGGGGTCATGACGGTAAGAGATGCCATCATTTTACTCAACTCCCGTTCAATACCCGCTCATCTTTTAAAAGGCCTTTATCTGCTTCACTGCCCCTGAATTTCCACCTTTGCTGTCTTTAGAGTATCTCTACAGAGTTTTGAAGTTCAACAAGTGCCTCATTCCAGAAGAGGTGAGTAAATCTTTTTTTTTTTTTTTAACTATATCCTAAAAATGTTCAGTCAGTGCAGTCAAATGCAATTCCACAGCTAAAGCTTAAACCTGAAGGCCTTCGGTTTTAATCTCAGGTTTGTGTTTCTCCTCAGGGGCTGTACATGATTCGCTTCCATTCCTTCTACCCCTGGCATGCCCATGGAGATTACATGAATCTCTGCAATGACAAAGACCTGCGCATGCTGCCCTGGGTCAAAGAGTTCAAGTGGGTATCCGTCTCCGGCTCCCGTTTGTCGTCCTGCTGATAGAACTGGGTCTTAATCCTCCGCTCTCTCCACAGTAAATATGACCTGTACACGAAAACCACCGACCTGCCTGACGTCAATGAGCTGAAGCCGTACTACCAGTCTCTGATCGACAAGTACTGTCCTGGAACCCTAAAGTGGTGAAACCCAGCAGCACTGCTGAGAGCACATGATGGCGTTTTGGCCCAAGAATGACCTCAGTGTGACACTAAAGCTGGACTTTGTGCTTCCATACCATATTGTATCCCTTATTTTTTCTATCGATGTTCGATCTGTGGTAATTATCACGGGAAGCTGTGAATCTCCCCCTTTGCTTGGAAATGAATACCACATAAAAAAATAGCAATATTACTGAATAACGTTTGTACAGACAAAGGATTTTATTATATTGTATTTCAAAATGTTTAAAAACTTTCTAAAGCTACTGCAGTGCTCTGTATCATTTTGTTTCTGATAATAACAAAAGAAGCATTTCAGGAAAAACAGAAGGTGCTTGTTGGTTTTTGTTCTGTACATACAGCGAGGCCCCCGTGAGGGCAAAATCACAACAGGGAAGCAGGAGAAGAAGCAGTGACACGCTGGCAGACCAGACTCCATGATTCACTTCAAATGACACATTCTGGTTATTTCATAGCGCGAGTGTCTGAACCAACCGGCACGCTCAATCCAAAACAGTTTTGGAGTGATTGGAGGATAAATTGATACGTTGTGCTGTCAAGAGTTGGTGAAAGAAGGGAAGACAGTGATTGATAAGAAAACAAACAAACAAACAATCTTTGGTCCTTTTTGGCTTTTCATAAAGGCAGATGGTGATAAGAGTCTATGACAGGATTATTCTTTTCTCTCTCATTCCTTCCTGTCCTCATTCTCCTCCTCCTCCTCCTCATCATCACTAACAGTGTCTCTCTCCTCTAATTCTTCCTCTTCCACTTCCTCCTCACTTTTCCCTCCCTCCTTCTCCTCCTCTTCCTCATCTACCTCCTTCGGGTGCTCTGCAGAGCCCTCAGGAACGTCTTGTTTTTGGTCATTTCTGCGTTTGTCTCCTTTTCGCAATCCTTGAAGCAGACAGAAGGTGGCGCTGCAGGCCATGAGGGTCCAGATCAGCGCGTGGGCCGGGACGCCTCTGATCTGGGAGCGCACCCACCTCATGGCCTTAGCAACACCGGTGCTGGAAACGCGGCGTGGAGCTGATTTGTCCTGCAAAGACAAAGAATAATCGACCAGTTCAACAACTACAAAAAAAAAGATTGAGACCTCACATCTGTAAAACAGTCAAGTGTCTTTCTTGCTTTATCAACCTTTAAATCAATGACAAGATAAAGTCATGTGAACAAGAAAATAGAGGAAAAGTCTGTTAAAGACAATATGAAATCAACCCAAAATTGAGTAAATCAGATCATATGACAAAATTGTTATTTAATAAGTCTAAACCAAATTGAATCAACTCGGGACTTTTCCAGACACAAATAGGTGGACAAAGTGGCGCTTTCAAAGGAGATTTACCTTGAGTCCATACTGGTTGAGCATGCTCTCCAAGAAGGTGTTGCCCAGGTGGACGACAGGATAAAATTCCTCATCGTAGACTCTCCGCCACCAACGGTCGGGGTAAGAGCTGCCGAAACAGAAACACCTCATCTTACTGTGTTTCCACTGACTCCTCTGGAGGTGGAGGGGAACGGACAAAAGTCTGCATCTATCAGTTTACAGGCAGGCTCACGTCCGCACCCCTCTGAGATGTAATAAATGTGGACAGGAACGAGATGCTGGTGGGCTACAATGTGGCGCGACATTCCAAACTGCTTTGGAAGGCCGGCCTTCCTCAGCTCATGTCAAAGCAGTGGGACAAAGGAGGAACGGAGAGTGCTAACCCGTCAGCCTTCGCTTCAGTAAACCAGTATCTGTAGCGGTGAGCTCGCAGGTAGGCCGGGGGCTCCTGGTGAAAGGGATACTTGGATACATCCGTCTGGATCAGCTCGATCACTGCAGGACACAATGCAAAGCTTCAGCCAGCTGCTCAACAATCTGATACCATTGTTGGAAGGTAGCTCATTTCAGACAGAAAGTCTCACTCTATTCAGCATTAAAATTATGAGAACAAAAGACAAACAAAAAACCCGTCATTTCATTGATATAGTTTTTGGCTGAGAAGCCGTTTCAGTCCGGACTAAAAGAACCCGCTTCTCCCTGAATTTTCTTCAGACCCTCCATGTTCGCAGCTTCCTCACCGTCTTTTTTTCCCTGCAGCAGTTTGTACATCAGGCTGGTGAACCACGGAGCCTGCGTGTGCGTCCCCAGGGCGGCAAACCACATCTGCCAGTCCAGCCGGGGCTGATGTGGACTCACCGCAGGAGGAGCGGCACTCAGGTTCCCCGGTTTGTACATGAACTCAATCTCCTGGAGGCAAAACAGAGGACACGTGGATGCCTAGAGGCCTTTACTTAAGCGTCGCTGTGAGCTGAGGCTCGTTTCCTTCTCACCGTCCATGTGACCATGTCATTGCTGCCCTCGATGACCACCTCCGGCCGCCCCGCGACCCCGGTCATCCTTCTGAACAGGCCGTACGAGTTGACCAGCTGGTAGCGATCCACCGCCTCGTGGGCCAGGCGCACCCCCGGCCACAGCCGCGAGTTGGAGTCGTACTCGATGAAAGTGAAAGGCACCTGAGAGGGAAACAAACGGCTGATGGCTGCCGAGGTTCAGGTGAACCCTGACGACAGGGTTTCTGACGGAACCCACCAGGCTGACGGCGAACATGGAGGCGGTGGCGGCGGCGAACGCCGTCCACTGGACCATTCCCCAAAACCTCCTCAGGAAACCAGACACGCACGCGCACCTGCGAAAACACGGCCGGCCTCGTAAACCATGCCCAAAAGCAGCGGCGCTCAACGTGCCTCAGCCCACAGACCGGAACATGGACGTGACCATCTCCCACGTGAGGGACAGGACCCCAATCCACACTGAAGGGATGGTGACCGTCTTCAGGAACTGGTTGAAGTGGTGGTAAGTGAAAGCTGCACAAGCAACAACAGAGCCGTCAGAGCCTTTGGATCGCAGACAAACATACGACAGAGGATTTTAAGAAAAAAGAAGAAGGAAAGAAAATCAGACACGCACCTGTACGAGACGAGATCCCTCCCTTGTTTTTATCCAGCTGCAGATCAAAGCAGACAACGGTTCCAAAGATCATGAGAGCCCAGACTGCCAGCTCCAGCAGGTAACCCAGCCACGCGTGCAGCCTGGAGCCTGAGCAGAGGACAAACGCTCAGCGCTCAGCATCCAGAGGCGTGGATGAGACAGCAGGCCAGCACTTGGGCCAAAATCCATCAAATACATGAACTTTGATTACACTGCACACAACATGGCAAACCTCTGCCTCGACTCCTGCTGGGCAGGGGAAAACTAAAAAATCCTACCACTGCTCTCCTCTCCGCTGTCATCGGCCTTACGCAGCCAGAATCGCACGTGCTGATCGTCCAGAAGGGACAGACAGAGGGCCATAGTCAGCAGGTTGAAGAAGTTGTAGTTACCGGACAGAATAATGAGAACTTGAAGCACCATCTACACAATGGGAAACAAGATTTGGTAGACTTATGATGAGAGACTGGTTTGACTTACCAGGTGTAGCCCCAAAGGCAGAATTGGAATCTCTGCTCACCTGTAAGTAAAAAGCTCCGATTCGCAACCTTCGCAGTGGACTGAAGAAGAGTAAAGGCACCGGGATCTCTATGACAAAGGTTGCCACCACACTCAGCTTCTGCCACCACACCGGCAACTGGTGGGCAAACCAGGCCAGAGGAGTGGGGATGCACTGAGTCTCGTAGTGGTACGTCAGAGCTGGTCCACGGCAGGAAGTGGAGATCATAATCAGACAGGGAGAGGGAGCAAAATTAAGGATTTTGATGCTCTTTGACAGAGGGGGGAAAAAAGCTATTTAACAACCAAGTCGTACCTGTGAGGCCCCACCATGTGGGACAACGTGACGAGAGCTTCACCACTCCAGACGCAAACATCAGCCTAAAGGTCAGCCAGCGAATCAGCCAGAACGTCACACGATCGTGCTCCCTGACAGCTCGCGCTCCCCTGATTAACGTCAGCGGAGCAACGAGGATGCAGAGGAACCCCGTCTCCAGAAGCAAGTTATCCCTGAGTGTCGGAAAGGAAAGCCAACAAAAAAATTGGAACAACGAGGCGGGAAAGCGCGCTGGAGCAGAGGGATGCACAGGGGCGTGTGCGGTGTTGTTGCACGGCAGCGGTGATGACACAAACACTGACTGAGAGAGGCGCCAAGCTCCCACCGTCCAGCTGCTATTTGCAGGAGCGTGTGAATGAAAACATGATCCGTGTTTCTAACCACACCATCTGTAACACTCACCATTGGAAGTAGAGGAAAACCTGCCCCACCTGCGACGCCAGGAAAATATGTTTAGTTTTAAAAATTAAACTGGTCTTGGGAAAAGCACGTAAAAAGAAAAAGGCGCCGGCCTGTCAAGACTCACCTGGTACATGGACAGGTACAAGGCCCAGAGGCAGAAAAACACCACGCTGTCTCGAAGAGACTCCACCAGCGTGGCGGCGAAGCTCAGGGCGGCCCCCGCCAGGCACAGCAGCTCCATGGCGGTGTGGGTGTCCAGGCCAAGCTGAGGGCCCAGCCACAGAAGGGTGGGAGAGGACATCAGCTGCTCCAACAGAGGCTTCCCACTGTACCGCAGCTGCCACCGGGCCGGCAGCAGCCCATCATTCCCATAGAGCCCTGAACACACACACACACACACACACACACACACACAAGGGAGAGGATCTCATTCATGTCTGCAGGGCACAGATACAAACACTGAAATACCGCACATGCTTTTTTTGTGCCTTTAGGGCATTTGCATCAGTCTTGTTATGTTGTGGAACAAAGAAGTCAGTCAGTGAATGTCACATTTCTAAATGCCATTCAAAGGCACTTAGAAGTTTGCAAGTCTATACTTGACTTGAAAATGCTCTGTGGAGGTGCAGGTTTCACTTTCCACTGCGACTGCATGGACGTGTGGTGAAACCTTTTGGGCGTGGACTGCGTCTCCGAGGATGTTTGAGGCTGCTTTCCTCATAAAATGAAAGCCGTGACGTGCGTGTGCCGTGCAATAAAAATCTTCCTCCACGTGAACGTCTTTGCGACAGTTTGGCTCCCTGTCGGCATATGTTAGCTGGCTAAAGTTAGCCCTGTGCAGGACGATAGAAACTTCCAGGAGGTTCTCCTCATCCCGCGGGGAGGCAGGAAACGCAGAGTACTGACCGCCAAGTTGCCAGCTAACAAGCTAACGAGCACTTTTAAAGGTTTAGAGAGCTCACTGGGAAGCAGAGATGCGGGTCTCACCTGGTATCTGCACATACAGGGAGACGAAGGCAACCGTGTAGATGACCGCCATGCTCCAGAGAAACATGCGCCGTGGTAGTGTGATATCCCCCATGGCTGACTTGGGCTCTCCAGCTCTCCTCACTCTGGTGCCGCTTGCCTGTGTGTGCAGACGAAAGCCGGGAGACACGTAGCGGATGCTCCCTGAGTGCATAAACCAGTGGCCGCTAGATGTCCCCGCAGCCTGGGTGGACTAAAGGAAGAAGACGGGTGTGGGGTGGGGGGCTGCACGACCGCGAGCTTCTAATGTGGTGATGCATTCAGGGGTCCTGGGGAAAAAACGGTCGAGTTCCTATTAAGTCATAACTTTCACTTTGTGTTGAAAACCAAGTAAACCTAAATGTTATATTCATTTGCCCGTACATTTGAGATGTCGCGAGCCAGAGTTTTACCTATGTATTCACTAATGTATGAGCTGTTTCAACTACAGTAAATATGTACTTGTGTCATTTACTTTTGGATATCTACTTCTTTTTTAACTTGTATTTTGATGTCATGCCTTCATTTGTGGGAAATTGTAAATGCCAAATCATTTAAAGAAAAGTATTGAGGGAAATGCACACATTTATTTTTGGCTTCATTTTATTGTGCAATTTAACAGACAAGCATACAGATTCATGGCAATCAAAAGGTGGGTCTGCATGCATCTGATCAAAAAGCATCCAAATATTTACATTCAAGTTTTAGACAATTATAGGAAACATCTGATTACACAAACAGATTAGAGTACCACTAAATCTCCAACATACAGCCCCCCCCCCCCATAAACTCTTGTGAATCATGAATGGTTTGCTACAAAAATACCTAAAATCTGACTTTAGACAACATTTACACATTTATTTTCTGGTGACACCAACACTAGAAGATGTTTCTTCCAACAGAGACGGAAAGATCAGCAGTTAGGTTAGTGTCAAAGCCAAAGTGCTGAAGCTTGGCAATGTGAAATTTGACACCAGGAGCAAGATGGATTAAGATGTGGATGAGCTGATCCTACAATAGCAAGTGAAGCCGAGTAGCTTTGGAGCTAAAGATAACTTTATCCCATGAAGCATCCCCCTCGTGAAAGATCTGAGCAGACCGCCCCATACGACATAACTTCTTTCTTTGTTTTCACTTAATGTTAAACCCATCACCATTTGCTCACTTTCTCCAGTTTAATAGGAAGTTATGAAAAGCAATATGAATCTTGCCACTTAAAGTTTCTATTCCATAATTGGAAAAAAAGTAGAAATCTATAAAATAAAGTACAGGTCTCTAAATGTATTAAACGGGAAATTCTCTAGAAAAGTGTATGCATGTTAAGTCTGTAATTTGGGACATTTTTGACAGATGAAAGTAACTTGACACTGCCCAAATTCAAACGCATATTAAGTCATTATTTGATACTTGGAATCTTTAGGTTACTGCCTTTCAAAAGTACTGACAGTAATTAGGAAGACCATTCCATAACCAAGTCAATGTCAAATTTCGATGTAAGAGACATTAAAAACAGACACCAGCAGCTAACTTTCAGCATTAACAGAAGATGGATCACAGGTTTACCGTGGATTTTTGGAATCAAGCATCTGAATATCCATACCAGACTATCTTTCCTGTCCTTCTGTTGAAATTCAGGTTCTTCCCTTGAAGGAGTTATTCTGTATCAGAGTGGAACACTGTATGAATTTGACTGTACTGACATCTCTACATGACCATTTCAATTATGTCTATCATCTGTGGATGGACAAATTACTTTTAGCTGCCTCACTCAAGCCAAAATGCACAGGGATGGCCAGTGCAGTGTAGCTATGGGTGACCCCAAGTGTGGACGGCTGGAATACAAAGCAAGGGGTCAGAAAGACGGGGTCCTTTGGCCTAATAAGTTTGAAAGACTCTTGGACCTGCATTAGTCTCTTCAAAGCAAAGTGTCTTCAAACATACAGAGAAGCAAACACAGCTGTTTGGTAATCCAGCCGGTGTGTTGTTCAGTGCATTAGTATTTTGCTAGTTTTTTTTAATTTATATATGACCAAACATATGGATCTGTTAGAGAATTTAAGGCAAACATAAACTCATGCAGATTTGGACGGCTAGACCTTAGAGTGTGGACACTTAGATTCTGCCTCCTGCTGGCAGAACCTGCATTTTACTGTCATGTGGTCACATCGGTTGTGCTACTACAAGAGTGTCCAATAGTTGTTGTTGAGGCCATGGAGTCCTGGTCCGTTTCCCTGACACAGATAACTGCATCTCCACTCACATTAATGAGACACTGCGCCTGAAAGAGGTAAAAAAAAAAAAAAAAAAGAAGTCATCCAAATGAGACACCCAACTCCCTCAAAGACACATACATGTTGTGTGTTGATTAGTATTAGTGGAGTTATGATGTCCATGAGTGAGTGGAGGCACCTGGTTCTTGTTTGGATTCTCCATTAAAACACAGTCCTTCATGCTGTAGGACACCACTGCATTGCCACCCAGAGCCGCCACGTGGGCTCGAACCATCGCAAACACTTCTGCGATGAATGAATGGAGAAAGCCACTGACTCCGCCTTCCTGCAGAGGGCGAACGTGTCTCATTAAGAAACGCAGACCTTGTTCGAGATGATTCTGGCAAAGTGTCCAGCCTTCGTCATACATCACCTCTCGTAAGGAGGTCGTTTCTCTGATGAAGAACATGTTGATGATCCCGAGGTATTTGATGATGCGTGTCCCAGGGAGGAAAGAGAGCGGCGTCATCTTCACCACCGTCACCGAGCTGCCTCCAAACGAGCGGCTGGAGCGCAGCGAGCGGGAGCGTCCCTCCGGCAGCGGGCTGCAGTGCTCCAGAGATGAGACTGCAGGTGGAGAGAGAGCAGGCAGAAGGGCAGGAGGCAAGAAAGACAAGAGGCAGAACGGGAGAGGAAAAAAACAAAAAACAGACAAGAGGCAAATGGAGATACCAGAAAAAAGTTCAGGAGAGATGGGAAAATGAAAACCGATTTCAATTTTGATGCAAAAAAAGGTGTGAATGAGAATGTCCATGCAGAAATGCAATCCTGTTAGTGCTTGCACAGCAGGTGTAAAACGTACAGTTAAACGGCCCAAAACACTTTAATTCCTATATTCATAAGATTCAAATTTATATAACCTCTAGATTTTATAGTTGCTTACTCTACCAGTAGGCTACTTCTGGTAGAATTGAGGTAAATAAATGTATGCCAGTAAGAGCTAAAAATGCTAATGAAACATCTCATCTGCCCAAAAGTACTCTTTTTTTCCTTGGTAATAAACAACATGGCCTTTATTTGCTACCACAGTGATCAGACAGCTTTAAGCCTCTTCCACATGAGCACTGGTCTTTTGGAATTATTTAATGATGTGGTACATGAGAGCCAATCTCTTTCAGACATTCTCCGGCGGAGCCTCATCAGCAGATGGAGCCATACACATGTTTATAAGTGAATGTTTCAGAGGATTTGTGTGCTCCGTGCATGTGAGAGGGCTTCCTCCTTTCTGCTGACCGTTGTACTGCTTTGCAGTCACTCCATTTAGGATGGAACGAACTAACATCAACACAGAAGAACTGATGACCAGAGTGATGGTGAAGAAGCTTAAAGGCCTGGAGATCATTGTGGATGAGCAATTAAAAAAAATTAAGGCTTTGCCATTGATTATTTAAAAAATCTGAATAATTTTAGACAGCCATTTTTAGTAAAAGCACCTTTTTTTTCCATAATTAGCTGAATTTGTTTTCATCATGAAAGTGTCAAACCAGTGTCTTTGTTTTGGGCATGAAAAAAAATTAAATAAGCCATTGCTGTGTGTGTGTGTGTGTGTGTGTGTGTGTGTGTGTGTGTGTGTGTGTATGTGGTAGTAAGCTGTCTATTTGTTAGAAGGACACCACATTACATGTGTGTGAGGGGTTAAAACAATCACTTGGAAAGCATACGCTGCCATGCAAGTCATGCAGTTGAGGCAAACCGACAGTTAGACGATGTCTGCAGACAGACGGACAGACCTGGGCACAGCTGTTTACAAGTGTGAATACAGTATTTACAGTGAGGTACATGAGGCGATACTTCTATCTGCTGGCATTTGTGAACAAGGCTTGAGACATGGAGACGGACAGAGACAGCAGTGCGCTGAGCTGGGCACATGTACACAAACCAGAGTGTGAAAGATGCTCAATTGTCTTATGTACAGTTACCTGATGTGGCTTCCGTCCATCATATGAGGAACCTTCAGAGCCACACATTACACAAACTGTGCACAGGGCTGAGAATCATTCGAGCTCTTGCAGAAAAGCATTGCCCCACCCCCCAGCCTACCACGATTTACAGCAGATATAAGTTCAGAAACATGATTCAGACACGAAATGTTTGAGCAGTCACTCCCTAACTCCTCCAATCATGTGTGATTTTTATCATCTTAAGGACGTTCGCTGATGCAAATGCAAAAAGAGAAATAAAAGAAAATCTTCAGCAAACTGCTGCAACATGCAGATCCGGACAAGAAAAGCCTGACGTGGAGCAAAGCTCACTGATCAGCGTGGTTATCGTGGCAACAGGCTGGGCTGATTCTGATTCCTCTGAGGTGCCGCTTGTCAGCTTTCACACTCCAGCTAAAAAAAGCCAGTGCTTGATTTCCAATGCTCTGCCCATCCCCCCCCCTCCCTCCCACCAGCATGCGTGCAGGGGTGTGCGTTTGTATGTCAGCGCGTGTGATTGCTTGTGAATCTTGTGTTCTGTTTTTGTGCGTATGATCACCAGAGTGTGCTAGAGACTGTGTCCTCCTACTTGTCTTAACTGATCCTCGTCTTATGGTGTGAGCTTTCAGCCTAAGCAGCTCTAGCCAGGTGCTGCATCTGTCTGCAAAGGAACCGTAATCAACGGAGGCAGCTGGAGAGAACACACACACACACACACATTCGCACGCACGCGCATACACACGCCACCCACACCCAACCAGACACAAACATAACAAAAAGGAAAAAGAGAACAAAAATAATAATAAAATAAAAGAACATAAGACACAATAAAACAAACGAACAGAAGATTTAAAAAAACTGGATGAGGTTTGGGAGCGGTGTAAGATAACTCTGTCCGAGAAAAGGATGGATAGTCAAAACAGGGCAGTGTAGTAGTTTCGGTGGCAGGGAAGTGGGGAAGAAATAGATATCAGACAAGGTGGGGGCTTACCTCTCGCGGAGATATTTGTACTCTCTGGGACACCTGTTACACACACACACACACACACACACACACGCACAAACATCATACTGTTGTACGTGGTAGAGAGAGTTTAAGTCCTGCTCGTTCCACCAGGTGAACCCATCAGGTTGTTCAGCTTTAAACGACATCCTAAAACTAAATGTTCTCTACAACAAGATCCTCATCCACGCGTCGACTTCGCTACTGTGTCTCTGCTTCTTCTCTAGAAAACGTCACAATGCCATCTAAGGTCACAACTAAATAAAACTCACCGGGCTACTACACACTGTGGTTGATTTACCTGCTGGACAGACCATAACCAGCTGATTTTGGCAGAGTTTTGCAGCTGGGGTGTATAAAGAGACTGTACCTAAGTTGTTAGTGAAGGAGACGGGCAATAACTTAGTGAGGCAGGGCAGAGGAGGAGATTAGGAAGCAATGCACAAAAAAAAAAGAAAGAAAGAAAAAATAAAAAACAGGAAAAAAAAAGTCCAAAAGTACCTGAGATTTTGGAAGATGGCTGAGAGTTGATTGATGATGATTCGGCACATAACTCCAGGGGAAACTGCAGCTGCTCATCAGTATCAGAGCCTACAAGAAAATAAATAAATGCACAATCAAACACGTCCGACTGCTTGATTAAATGACATATCATTCTGGTTAATGCTGAAATAAAGGAAACAGAAGATAATAAGATTACAAAATAGCTGCAACTTTGAGGAAAGATGCAGTGGTTGAAATCTGGATTCAAGATAAAATGACCAAATTTGCTTTGGTGTTTGATGGAAAGGAACCAAAATTGACACAGCCATTTCATACTGGGGTCCCTTACAAATCAGACGGACCCGAACACAAAAGCCATGGTCTGGAGAGCTGGCTCACCCTTACAGGAAGCACGTGCATTTACCCCATTTCATGGCAAAGTGTCAATTTCACAAATTTAAAAAGATACTTATCATTTACTACCAGTTACAAAGTGTGAAAGTGGATGCTGTGAAACATTCTTTTGCTGTACATAAAGCAGAGCCACCATTGAACCAGAGGTAAGGTGACCCGCATGCACCAGCACAACAGGCACTGAGGTGAGTGCTATTCGACTCAAATGAGAGCCCAACCACAAAAGCAGAAAAGGTTTAAAGCAGACTGACCTTTGGGGACAGGCTTCTCGGCTGGCTTTTCCTGAGTCTGATCCTTATCAAACGTCATGGCAACCGCTGTCACTGCAACCTAGAGAGGAGATTATTTCTTTCTTTTTTTTTATAATCTTTTTTTATTAAAACTTTAAAAAAAGAGTTGCAATGACACGCAAAGATGCTGATGCAGATCCTCAGTAATCCAGGTCCTGAGAGCCTGAATGGGACAACTGGTTTTCTAGTTTCACCTGTCCCCTGAAAGGCATCTTCAGTTCTAAAAATAGTATGCAGGAAGTTACATCTGAGAGGCTAAACTTCATATTGAACCAGGGAAATAGATGTCCAGCTGCCCTTTTTCGGGCTCCTGGGATGATGCTAATGATGTTCTGACTTTGGTAAACGGCTGTGATGATCTGGCATGTCCTACCTGAACGAGCTCTTCTTCTGGCACTGCCACGGTGAAGTTGAGATGACAAAGACAGCAGGGAACCATCGAGCGCAACTTGAAGTAAAAACTCTGAAAAATGCAAAGTGATCAAAGACTTTTATCACCCATTTGAAAACAGGCAATGTGACTATTAGTAATGATAACATTTCCTTACCTTTAGCAGATTCTCACAAAGGTCAGTGAAGATCTTATTTAAGCCTTGGTTAGTTAGATTGGTATTGCTCAACCTCAAAACCCTCACCGACGTAAACATCTGTGACAAAATAAAGTATGAATTCACAAAAACAGACAACATTACTGTATATAATCCGGCTCACAGGGAAGTTGTACCTGTATTCCAGAAGTCCAGTTAGAAATCCCAGGCATGTTCTCTGTATTGCAGCTGTAGAATCCTGAAGATAAGAAAGCGGACAAAGGGTCGGTTTGAGTTTAAACAGCGCATATGTCCTATCTGTCCTATCTGCTGCAGGAAGTGTGTGTGGCACAAACCTGTGGGAGGATTTGCATCAGTGAGGAGGGAGTGGATGTCCTCCACAGCATCAGTGTCATCGATCTACAGGAAACGCAGCTGTTAGTTTGGTTTCTTACAGAGACAACTGCACACTTACTGCTCTGAAATGTGTTTGCACACCTCCAGGACAAAGGCGTCCTTTTTGCCATGAGACAGATCCAGTTCTGATAATTCATCAGAGCTTTCTGAGTGGGAGCGGAAAAGTCTAGACCGCTGCCTGGGCTCTGGGATGGGGGAACCCACCCCCTCCTCTGTCAGCTCCTGCAAGCAGAGAGACGGACATTTGGTGAGCCCACATCTGTATCTCACACCTGTCATGGCTGTGCAGCTAGTATGACTATATTAGTAACACTCCACATGCTTCCGCTCACTCTCTTGAGTCCACTGATAAACACGCTCACAAATAGAGTTAATGTGAATATCCCTTTGGAAAGTAAGAGGTGACAAAATCACACAAACACCATAAAATATATATATGTGCAAGTGTGATTGAACTGAGCAGATGGCTGTAATTCAAATACATCAAACATCCAAAGAGTACAGTGAGTGTCCTTCAAAGACCTTACAGGGAGTTACAGATCCTCAGGCCTGTTTAAGTACGGAGTTAAAAGCAGTTAGATGGTTAAGGCAGAGGTTGTATAGTATCAACAATAAACGGTCAAATATTCATCATGCTTTGCTGTGTTTCAGCTAAAGGCTGGCATGCTCAGTACCATGTTTATGCCGCAGAACACCTCAGGGTCCAGGGCAAATAATTTCTTTGATGATCAAAAAGAGACAAGAAGGTTAAGTTCATCAGGTTTCACAAAGAACAGAGCACAAAGTTCAGAGTGCTACAAGTTTTTGGACATTTCAGGCAACATGGGTCGTTTTCTCTTACAGTGGATAGAAGTGCGTGACATCATGTGTTCCTTTTAGCTCACATTTAATATCTGTTGAAAAGTCTTTTGCAGGCACTGAATGCCACCTGTGAAGTTATTACCGCTCTAGATTACATCTCTTTCAAAGAGTTTGCTGAGCTTTACATTATAACTTCAGTGTTTCTTTTATGTCTCTGTTTGTGACTGCTCTGTAATTCGAGCCAGAACATATTCTAAACAAGATGTGCAATGTGTTGATTACTCACCAAGCACATGTCCCCACTGTAAAGTGTGCATATTGACAAGCTGCTTTTCCTCAAACTAAGCTTACAATTTTCAGCCACAGAATACTAGCACCCAAGAAACAGGAGTCAGCCTTACAGCTTCTGAATGATTTAACCAATGCATTAACTCTGTGGAAGATGACAGCTATAACTATCCCAACATTTGATCCTTACACTAGGACAAAGGTATTCCTGTACTTACTGTGTAAAATACAACCACATTAACTTAAAATAACACTAAATGTGCGATAAAAGCACAGGTAAACTAAAAATATGATTTCCAAAATGGGACTGTGGAAAACATTTGCACGTGACAAAGCTGTGTTTCCTGCTGAGGGTTTTCCCTTTGGTGGGGTTTCCCTTTCTGTGGGCTGACAGGGGTATTACTTTCCATTATCATGCTGTGGCTGCTAATGTGGAGACCATCCATTACATGTGGTGTGATAATGTAGGCATAACAGAGGCTTCGCACTTATCACAGATTCATATACTGCTACAAAATGCCTGTACATCTCACCGGAGGATTTATTTGATAGAGCTCTTTGTTCTTTGCTATGGCGTCGTTGATCCTCCTCTGAATGGTCAACAGATGCTGCTCGTTGCTTAGGTCACCAGGAGTCTTCCCAGCAATCTGAATACTTCCTGGTGCAGGCAGAGCCGTCAGGTAAACTCCTGTAGCAGACTGAACAAACACAGCTTTAGCTGACTGACTTGCCTCCTGTGAGCGAATGCTGTTAGCTCAAAATGTTGACCTACAGCCAGACCCAGGAGCATGTTCTCGCCAACACTGATCTGTATGCGTAGACCAAACAGGGCATTCATGCTGCGCAGCTTAAGTTTATTCATGAGCTGAGTGTGCAACTCGTATTCCATGAAAGGCAACAAGTTGGAGATGACTGTCGCATTGACCTCCCCCTGGGCTTTCTTCTTCAGACGACATAGTCTGAAAGAAAATGAGCAGCCGCATTAAAGCTCCAGTGCGGAGGTAAATAAAAATTCAGTTCACTTTACTTACCTAAAATACTCCTGACCTCAAATAAATGACAAGAATATATCTTTTGTAACCCTGAAATTTAAACATTTTCTGGGGAAAATTCAGACTGATTTTACACAAGGCTGAGATTTTACCAATGCCGTTTTAAAATACATTGGGAGATAACAGCTGAGTGATCCCTCCACAAAACATCAGTGGGTTTTCAGCATCATCATATATAGATAAAATAGTAAAATTATAACTCTGGATGGAAATTCCTGCTTGAAAACCACATAATCAATATAATGATATTGTTAATACATTACATGCCATTACAACAGCCTCTAAAGAACAAGTCTGTAGTCTGGACATGTCTGTGAGAGCTCATCACAGCTCATCTCAGCACACCGCAACACTGTATTTCAGTAAACCACAGATTAAATACAGCCTTATAATATCTGCATGCCAGTGTTTATCCTGCATGACAAGACACACTGATTTAACGTTAGAATCTTTTTATTCGTAGTGTTAATCAGCACTCAGGGCTGTATATCAGGGCTGTATTTATTAATTCTACACCATATCGTATTGCAGTAAATTATTCTATATAATGCTACTTTTGAGTTGATAAACTTGGTTGTTTTCCTTCTCCGCCATCTTTCAAAAAAGCTGACAGATGAGTATTTTTTGGGTCTGCGAGATTCTTTACCTGGCCTGAATAAGGCAGCCTTTCCCTGTCACCGCTGCTTCTGGTGGCAGGTCGATTGTTGTGAACAGCACATCAGGAACCTTTTGAAAAATAATGATAAGAAGAAGAACGTTTGCAGTTCAGAAAGCCAAACATATCACCAAAAGCTTTCTCTTAAGCCAACAAGATGGAACTGTCACCTTCTGCCGCCTGCAGTGGTAACAGTAGGTGAGCTGGGCAGGAAATGGCATGTTGAGCTCATCGTATGGGATGTGACAGAAGCCACAGGTTGGGGGTGATGGCTCCTCAAACCTGGTGAACAACCCAAACCAAAATGCATATATATCTCAACACCTCTATATATTTACCCACATATACACAAGCCGAAAAAACTACCTGTGGTCAGTGCTGCTTATGTCAAGGCAGCCTTCACGCATGTATCGAGGATTCAGAATGGCTGCTGTGCCCGACGCCGACAGTATACACACTTCTTCACTGTGTTGAAAGAAGGAGAAGTGACCGGAGTTGAGGCGTGTGATTCGTATCAAAAGAAGTCAAAATGTTGGGCGGCAGTCATTTTCCCCTTATTGTGGTGCAGGTGCGACGTACCAGATGCTGGTGCTTTCACTGTACCCTACAACAGCATGGCAACCGAGGGCTTTGGCATGAGATTTGATCTCCTGACGAATCTCCTCCCACCAAGCATCACGAGTCTCTGGCTCGTCTGCAAAACACAAAAGTCTGAATCAAACAGCTTTCAACCAAGGTGTGCGAAGTTGTGAATATGTTCATTTCAACACTTGAGGATAGAAAACATACTTAACAGAAGTTAAATTTCAGTTTCAATCTAAGTAACGTGTCTGAAGTTAATCTGATTTACAAGAAAATAATAAGAAAACCAACAATACATATAGTATTTTCTAATGATTTATGAGTTGTATGGTAGATCAAAGCAAGCCAAAAACTCAGTCAGAATCTTGTAAAACAAGGTGACACTGTGAGTAGTTTGGGAATGAGTTGGGAATGATGATGATGAGGGCAAAGTCAATTATTGGATTACGAGTACGTTTTTAAAAATGTTTTATGATTTTCTTTTACTGTGCCTTGTTTAAAATGAAAGATGCCCCAGTTTTCATGGTGGATTCTGACTTTCTTTTTACTGACAAAAGGATTTCTTTTTTTCTAATAGTAATTAGGTTACAGGGCGCTCCCCTCTCTGTCACACTATACTCCCCTTCATGTTCATAGTTTTTTTATTTTTTCTGTAAAGGAAAAGTGCCTTGTGCACACCATTTCACTTCCACAAAAAAATTATTGCTTGCGCGCATTTCATCCTGTTCTTGTCATGCGTTTATTGGACATTTGATTTATCAGTTAAGCTGGAAGTTTTGTTAATTTCCCATGATGTCACACATAATTGATGCATCCATCAATTTTCTATACAAGCTAGATTTAATTAAGGGTACCAGGGGAAGCTGGAGGCTATCCCAGCAAACAATCAATGCACCTCGACTAAAACCCCATGAATTATCGGTTTCTTTTTAGTCTGCTGCATTACAGAAAGGACACCATAACTTTCTTTTGGCTGTGGTTGCATTAGTAGTCCTGCTAGCAGAAGAGGAGCCAATAAAAAAAGCATCTAGGTCATAAAGTGTCACTTTTTTCTCTGACCAGTAAAAGTAAAGGGCTTGAGCCTTCACCATTCGTAGAATAAATGATCTTTTGAGGCCTTAGTTTTTAAGATAAAAACAAATATATGATACCGGGACTGTTTCCTTTACAGCTGCTAAAAAAATTCAACATCTCAGATGCGACATCGAGTATTAAGTGGCACCCTGCAACCCCCAGGGAGGGCAACATGCTGACAGAGCCCCAAAAAGAGGGAGGAACTGAAGTGTTTGGAAAAATGATGGAAAGGAATGGACGAGGGGAGAAAAATGGGTGAGATGAAAAATAATGACTGATGGTCAGGCATTGGGCCCAAGAGTTGGGTTCAGTAAAACCAGCAGCAGCATGTCATACAGGCACAGGCTCACCAACGTGCACGCTCATGACCATGTGCGTGCTCATGGGCAAAAAAGGGCCATATTCATTCATTAGAGTCCATCAAATCTAGTGTAGGTTTTAAGTATTTTTTAAATTACTCCTTTTGCCAAGCTCGCCTCTTTTCCTCCATCCCCTTCACCATCCCAGATCCAGGTTTGATTTTCTTTAAGTGCCTCCCATCGAAATCAATCTGCCTTCCATGCATCCATCCATCCATCACTCCTCTTTCACTCTCAGTATGAATACGGCCCAATGAGTTTGGGATGCACATGCCCAGTCAATGGCTCTTTGTCACAGAATAAACCTCCTAAACCTCCTCTGGTCTAGACAGGTTTTTTGTTTCTTTGGAAAACCACAATGTCGACTCAGGAAGCGTCACAAACAAGGCTGGGACAACATTAGGGGGAAGCTGCAGTTTTTATGTGCAGCGGGATGAGCTGGTTGGGGAGGGGTGGCGAGGCCAGACTGGATGGGGTGGGGTGGGGACACGGGGCATGCTCAGCTCAGCACACACTCACAGATTGGAGAAAGGAGGATGACAGCTCACTGAATTGATCAGTTCTCAGTCATGAACTATCCCATTTTCATTCAACTGTTGACGTTTAAGCAAGCTGCTCAGTTAATTCTTACGGTTGGACTATTTCTAAGAGGGATCAACGCTAGCTTCATTGAGCTGCCATCTCTCCTGTGGGTGAGAGCAGTAAAAGGGGGGAAATACCTGCAGTGACACTATTCCAGTCTAGCAGTTTGTATGAGCGCGTGTTACCCAAGGCTGGGCCAGAACACACCGTTAGTACAGAAAAGAGAGATAAAGAAAAGAAGAGACAGTCTAACAAACAAACACATCACAACGGCAGCACTCCACAGTCACAGAGCAGAAACACACAGCACTTCACGGTCACTACGCACGGTCAAATTAAAGTGGGCTTACTAAAACCATCTCAGAGAAGACTGATGAGGAAAAGAGTTGAACAAAGGCGCGGAAAAGCCTCAGAACTAGCCAAAAGTTTTTGACAAATTTAAGGATGAGAGAAGCTTTACACAGTACAAAATAACATGCAAGACAAGTCTGACTCCAAACTTAAGGTGCTCTGTGGAGTTTTCTTGGGCACACATCTATCTACAGGTTCCCACAAAGTGTGAAGTGTGTGTGTGGACATGAGAGAGTCATGTCCACACACTCTTTTCTTTGCTCTGTTTAGATCGCAAATACATGTACCCAACCTTTTTGAGAAAATACTAAGATTCTTTAGTTTTCTAAACCAAGCAGTGGTCAGCGTCCTACAGTTTTACTCAACCCTAAATGCCTGTAGTCTCCATAAAGTACTTGTAAAAAACTGGTTAGTTCTTCCCTACCAAACAAACAGCAGATTATGAGAGCATGAGGTGCTTTCATGCCAGTCAGAGGAGAGGAATACAAGCTTTAGCCCTCATTGCAGATGAGACCTAAATGTAATCATGTCCTAACATATCTATAGTAGTAAAGAGTGTGGACAGTCGTTAATACTTGTTTCAAAGCATATAGAAAACTAAAAGGAAAAGAATTAGTGTTACTCTTTTTTAAGAAAAGAGGAAACCATTTTTTAAGCTGCACTTCCAATTGTCTAACTCTGAATTTGCATTGTGTATTTTTCTGTATTGGTATGAAGTTCTGAGAAAACTGATGCCAGAACGCTTTTCTTTTTTCCATTTGCCTCTGATCTGCGGAATAGTGGGATGTAAATAACAAAACTCTTTTCCCTGGTGCTACTTTAGGTCAAAAACTCCACCGGACACCTTTGATGATGCTGTAGCTGAGTAGCATAGGTACAGGGCTATTTTCAGGTGTTTTTTTGAATAAGGGACAAAATGAATAGGATACAAGCATTAAATTTCCCGGTCGTTTTACTGATAAAGTCTTTTGTGTATGTCTTTGATTTGGTTCCCATGTTAACTGAAAATAACCCTGCTCATCCTAACAAACAAAATTATCAGCCCACCATCTTTGATTCAAAACAGGTCAACACCCCTTAAATGGAAACAGACAAGAAGACGTCAATAGACCAAATATCTGTCTGTATTTATTTCAGTAGTTTCAGTTTAACTCACATAAAAATCCTGCCCTAAAACTCACACGGTGAAATACATAAGGTGACTCATCACATCCCTCACACAGCCAACACCGCCACACCACAGAGCAGCAAGCAACAGATGGAGCCATGCACCATCACAGCACCTCACCTCGGCACGTGACACAGCAACAAAAGCATAAAACACACAGCGAAACACACACAGCCTTTCGGTGATCAGCACAGACACACACAAAGAGAATCAGCCAGAACTAGAAGTGAAAAGTGTCTATAAACTGTGACACAGGCAGCAAACGCCTGTCCTCACTTTCATTTCCATTAAAGGACAACAACTGCGACCTGCCTTTTAATATGTCCATTATCTCTTTGTTTGTTTTTTTCAAACCATCTAAAAGCTTCTGATGGTGGCCACACTGAGGAGAACTGTGCACCACTAGAGGATAATTGGCAGTGCTAACAGCCAGTAACAGGACCAGACACTCACATGACGGTGGAAAAACGCATCAATTCACAGAAACTACACTGAGACTTTGTGTTTGTGTATACACTCACCAGGGTTATGTATTCGGTCCAGTAATTTGACGGAGCGAGCGCTGACCACTCCGCCGACATGAACCAGAAAACTGGGTGGAAAAGACTTCAAGGTGAAGAAGGGAAACTCCTGCTGATGGAAAACAGCTAGGTCAAATACAGATAAAGAAAACATTCTTTTCAAACACAGCTCCAACTTTTTTGTACAATGTTGTACAACAAAGCTGTGATCTGCAAACTATTTTTACCTGTTAATCAATAAAAAAACAGTGCAAAAGACAGAAAAGGGTGAAGGTAAGAATATCTTAAATCAACTCTTCAATGCTGCTTCTTTATCTTTTTCACTGTGTGGGCTCATGAGTATTACATTTTACAAGTTTGTTGTTGCAACCATTAAATGCAAAACCACATGCTTCCAAATGGAATTTTTTCTTCAGTATTAAAGTTTTTAAAGACAAAAAACAAAGACTCCAAAGATAAAAAAACACCAACTATGACTTGTGATTTCACCCACAAGACCTTCTGTGCATGTGAGACAGCAGAGAGCTGCAGTGAATCTGTGATTCTGGGTGCCACTGGTCAGCCTACAGTCCATAATTGTCACTATTTGAACATATTTGTAGGTCATTACACAATAAACCTAACTGGAGGTTTTTGAGAAGCTGGGCCAATCAATGATGCGAAAAGCAAATATTTTTCAAAGCTTCCTCATTTGCCATATAGCCAGATGCTGTGGAGAGGAACTGATTCAACACACCGATCGACAATCAATAACTAAAAAACATGTTGCATGTAATTGCACTGTGTTTTTATTCAATCAGTAGCAGTTGTGTGCAGACCTCAGTGCTAACAGAGTGCTGAACATGCAGTAGAAGTCAAGTGTGATGGTAAAACCCCCATGCAAATTGAGTCCTTTGGTGTTCCCCTCTTGATCAGTGCCAACCAACAAAGCAATCCCTTCATTTACCTAAGGCTTAGAGCACAAGGTATAGAACAAAAGGCAACGTAGACTGTGGCTGAGGATCAGAACTCTGATTTACATGCTTATCTTTGTGCTTTGGCAGGGCAGCTGGTCCTCTGCCTCCAGTTAAATCTGATGCAAGTTCATGCAGTAGCACACAACAGGAGCTGGACATACATGAGGCCTCCATTTGGCACCACCTTTACAGAAAACTTCAGGGAAGTTGTGAATAATACACATGCAGGGCCGACATGAGATGAATGGCTTTGGTTGGCGCACATCAGGCAGTGCTGCCACTAGGGTTGTCAAAAGTATCGATACTCGAAAAAGTATCGATACTAAAATGTTGTATCCGGATACGATACTCATTTTCAAAAGTATCGATACCACCGCGCGAGCCCGCGCGAGTGCGCGCAAGCGCGCGCGCGACGCTGACCTGCCGTCGCTGCGCCCCTTCTCTCTGATTTATTTATGTATTTATTTACGTTGTTTATGATCATTAACAAGACGTTAGCCTTGCTAGCTGAGGCTAATGGCTAACAATAACATGCTACCATTAATCAAGTACATATCTAACTCCGCCCACATCCAAACCGGACGTTTTGATTAGGTCACCAATAGGAAGATCCCAGGCAAAAAAATCCTAATTACTTCATGGCAATATAGACATTAATTTAAAAATAGTGAAAGTAATCTAGCAAACACTGAATTAAACTCTAGACATAATATTATGTTAAAATAGTGGATGTTAAATAGGTTTGTACAATAAGTCCAAACAAGTTTAACCCCAAAATTGTTTCTCACAATTATGAAGGGTTAGGGTCAGGGTTAGGGTCAGGGTTAGGGTTAGGATTAGGGTCATTAATGTGGGCCACCAGTCATGACAACATCAGTAACAGGTCAGTTTGAAATAAAAGACACAATTCAGTTACATTTTAGGGTCTTTTTTTATCCTTGTGGTATCGAAAATGGTATCGAGTATCGAGTATTTTCCTGAGTATCGGTATCGAGTTGAAAATTTTAGTATCGTGACAACCCTAGCTGCCACCAATTTCTTTCTTGTCCAGTACTCCAAAAAAGAAGGGGTCAGCTAATTTCAAAGAGCTCCTTCCTATCAGAGCAAGCAGGCAAGAATGAGCTGATGAGGTGATCGTTCATTCCCATTGTTGACCAAAGAAAATCTCAGGAAAAGAAGTCAGGAAGGTCCTCAACATGAGCATCCAGAGAACAAACACACACAGTCCACCACAACCCTTCAGAAAGGGAAACCCTCCTAGCCTCCGGCCCTCTGCCTAACATGTTTGTGACTCTGTTAGGGTGCGGTGGCGGCAAAGCAAACACATAAACTCTGCCCACCACGACCCCTCTGAGATCAACAAACAGCAAAGGGAGGGTCAGGTTAGGAGTTGACTCAGACTGGGTGGTGGCCATCAACTAGGTCACAGTTAGAAGGGGGGGGGTAATAAAGTGTCACGCTGATGGGACATACCCTGGCGTTAAACAATAACCCAGAGGAGGACGCTCCCTGAGTAGCAAGTGGTCAAGAGGACAGAGAGAAGAACATTATTTGTTCTTACACAGACCTACCCCACCTTTAGACTTCACCAGAGCAAATCTGAAATGTTTCACAGTTATGCAGTTGTGTGAAAAGGATCATGTGACCCATTGTTCAGACATCTGAAGTTAATATGTCGCACCAAAGTTTGTCAAGGCATCACCTGTTAAAAGTGCCGTCTTTACATTGCAGCAATTCACAGTGCTATTAATCTCAAATGACTGCACACGGAATAAGTTAGTAAACCCAGCACATCAAAGTGAGTGGAAGAGTGAAGCATCAGCATACCCTCTGCTCCAGAGCTGTCTGCGTCTGCTGTCTCAGCAGCGTCTTCAGGGGCCCCGCCTCCTTCCCCGCACTGCCCCCACTGCCCATTCCTAATCACAGAGAGGAGGCTGGCGTCAGTTTTGTCACTTGCAACAGACATTCTAATGGACAAAGCAAACCAAATGTTCGGCTGATTACGGCATTTACGAAGCTATGACAAATCAAGCGAAAGCAACTGCGCATGACGCCTATAATTCAAAGCAGCCAGTAGACCTGCTCCATCCTCACCCTAAGCTTACCCTGACCATTTTACAAAGCACTCTGTTAAACACGTTATAAAACCTCAGACTGGGGTAGGAGAGTCCACGGTAGGACTAAGTCGGTAGTGCTACTCCAGCACAGGTCCTGGGCTCTCATCAAGCATGCCCGGTTAATGTTTCTGCTAACACCATTCAGGAGGATCTGACTGTAAACGCTTCTACGACTGACCCAGTTCATAGAAGAGCCGTCAGCACTTCACGGCAATAAGTTTCTTTATTACTCGATGACACACAGCAGTCCTACTATACCGGAGGCTGCCAGCAGCAGGTCCTCTGTGAAGGACACGCTCTTTCTCAGCAAGGCAGAGTCTGAGTGGGTGAAGGAGGGAGGGAGCGGGGTGGTTGCTCTGGGGACAGAGCCAAGACCACAGCCCACTGAGCCAGAACCAGGAAGGGACAGAGTGTCTGTGGAGAGGACGGGGGAGCTGGGGCAGAGGAAGATCCCAGGCCTGCGTCTCACTGACTGGGGCTCCTCTATCCAGCAGAGAAACAGATGGAGGGTGCACAGAGAAAAAGAGATACATTGAGAATGGACAGGCAGAGAGCAATGAGGATAGTGGGCAATAACCAAGTGGCGAGAGAAAGAGTGTCGAAGACTAAGTGAACACAAGCAAAGAGAGATGAAGCATGCAAAGCAGGGTCGCCCCAGTTACCAGACTGGGGCAATAGGCTGGAATCACTCATACTGTCCTGATTAAACTGGTCAGCATGACCTAACCGATGCGAAGTTTAAAAAAGTAATCAAAATCATCAGAGAAAAAAAAACACTTTACTGACTTAATATATATAACAATATCATATAGATTATTACATAGTTATTAACATAAGGTTTAGACAAGATAATTGGCCTATAATCTTGTTAGCAAAAATGATTCCACTGAGTTCTTACTATGAAGTACTCATTTCACTTATGACAAAAATACACTACTGGTATATGTCTTCAATATTTTCTACATTTCTATCTATGTATCACTAAAGACAAATATTGAAGGACAGACAAGAGCACACAAATGAAAATATAAGTTACAAATGAAATGGATAAAATTAGGACCAGAAATATTTGGGCACAGGATTTCATCAAAACAGCTGTAGGTTGCAATTATAGAACAAATATGAACTTAAGCTTTTAATAACATTTGTATCATATTTGATAAATACAGTTTCTTAAAGCTGTTAGATTCGAGACCTTTTGCATAATGTAATGGCGAAAACTTTGCTCAAAATCCTGTTTTACACAATCAGATATACCTGATAAAAGCGGGGAGAAGACTACATGACAATAATTTGGAGTTATTGCACGGTAATAAATGATAAATAGAGTTGTTTTATCTGTTGAACAATTGGCAGTTCTAGTGGTTGAGTTCTATATCTCTTTTTGTTCACCTATGAGGAGGGCCTCCTATTTTCCAAAGCATAAAACCCCACTTTGAGAAAAACAGAAGAAAAACCCCGTATTTTCCTTTTTTACATAAATGAGGGTGAGAGTCTAATTTCATTTTTAGAAGTCATTATTCATCATAAAACTGCAGCTTTGACAAAAGGCTTAAAAACATACGAGTCAAAACATTTCTGGACCTAACCATAGAGTGAATATTAAAAAGAGTAAAAAACAGGAGACACAGAAACAGATGACGACAAAAAGCAGGAAACATGAAAAAGGAAGAGTTAGAGAGAAGGAGGGGTGTGGGTTGAGGGACTGCTGGTCAAATCCTGAAGGTTCTGAGAAGCAGCTGTGGTGACAGGGTTCCTCAGGTGAAACGGCATTAATCACTGGGCTGTGATGGAATGTACAAGAACCAGAACCAACTTACCATTTCCTCAATAATGGCTAACAATGAAGAAGTGACCTTAGATCAAACGCAGCCCCCTCTAGAGACACAGTGCTTCTGATAACACAAAAAAATCAGGTGGGAGGAACTAATACAGAGATCTGTTGCATCTTAACACTATAAAAACAGGCCTTTTGCTCTTTTTTTATAATAGTGTAAGACGAAAAGACACACCAGGCAACTGGGGACAGATGGGGTGCAGGGAATGGCCAAATAAACAGCTTAAATACAACTCACATTAAAATGATGTAAAACTAAAGTAAACTAAAGCATGAAACCATGTCAAATAAATAAAAATACTGGGAAAAAAATGAAAAAACCATCACCACAGCAGCATCGAAGTGTTGTGTAAGGAGAAGCCGGGGATGACAAATGGGGGAGGGGATGGGGCAGAGTATTCTTACCCGTCTTGGGCGTCAAACTGAGGTCTGTGTCTGATGATGAGGACTGACGGCTGCATGGCTTGGAGGGAGAGAAGGGGGGAGGAGAGGAGGAGGAGGTGGGGAGGGCTCTGAAAGGGGTGGGAGGGCCGGAGGACGAGGGCAGGTCCTCACCAAATACCGGCCTGCCAGGAAAACATGACACACGCACACACGTCAGTCACCTCAACCTCTGAGCGTCTGGGTGTGTGTGTGTGTGTGTGTGTGTGTGTGTGTGTGAGTGTGTGTGCATATGTTAAATGTTGCTCCTTGGAGGCTGGATGACTTTTTCATGTCTGATTTCTTTGCTTTGGGTGAGGTGTGTTTGATGTGCTACGGATGGCTGAGGGAATTGAAAAGCCAGGCATGGAGAGCAAAAGGGAGACAACGAGGATAAGCGCACACAAATAAAACTAAAGAAAGAAACATGGCAAAACAAACCAACAACACCAAAAATAAATAAATAAATAAAAGGTCAGACTCAACAGAGGATGTCAAGCTGAAGCATGTGTCCCAGTGAGGCAAGGGTCTGGAGACTGAAAAGAGATCTGAGGTCCTTCCACAGGAAAAACAATGCCGCGCAGATGGGAATCTGACTGTCCGGAGGAACAATTTGAGGCCAGTACCAACATTTGGCCTTTCACAAAGGGCATTCGGGGTCTGCTTTCCTTCTTTGACACGATCCCTCTGGCTACACTTTCAAACTAACTTCCAAATAAGACACGCTCATTTTTCTCCTCCCATAAATACATCACCGTCCTTTCTTTGCATTACAATTTTTCGGCCGTTCCCCTGCGCTGATTGGCTTCCCTGCCTGTGCGTACCGGTGAAGATGAGTGTGGGAACAGAGATAGAGAAGTTCTGGGACAGTCTCTGGGAGCTGCAGGCCGAATGCACTGGGCTGTTGTGGGTGGAGCGGCATCCGTGGGCAAGGGGAGACCTGGGCCAATCAGCACACAGAGAGAGAGACAGAAAGGGGAGGAAAACGCAAGACCGATTTGGACAAAAAGTGAGAAATGTCCCAATCCAAATGTAGGCAGAGGGAAAGAAAAAGATGCACACAGGATCCAACACAACACTGCAGCTGAGTGAAAGGGGAGACAAAAGGAACAGAACAGCAAAAAGATGGCCTCATACTTTTTCCTACTTTTTGTTTTGTCATTACTTTTTGATTTATTTACAGTCATGTGAAAGCAACGGGAAAATCATGCGCAGCACTCAGTTGAAGATATCAGTCACACAGAGCAGATGTGCAAACAACAACAAAAAAAGGCCCAGACCTTGAAAAAAGGATTTAGGAAAGAAAAAGATGAAAACAGAAGAAATAAGGAGTCAGAAAATTACTCTGCAACTATCTGGATGATGGATTAGCCGTTTCCATTATATAAGTAGAAGAAAAAAGGACATTAAATATCTTCCTTTTTTTAGGTGCCTGTGCTGTAATCCATCATTACAGCACAGGAATTTACTGGACTGTCATGGCCCTGTTGCTAGATTCTAGTTATTATGTAACTTTCCTTCATGTATTTTGTTTAAATGTCCCCTTAATCAAGACCTAAGCATACATAAAACATATCATATACACATTTTATGTTAAGTGATTGGACTTTTTTGGCTCGCATTAGAAATGCAAGCAAAAAAAACTCTTAATGTATGAATGAAATCAGATAGCTGAAAAGGGAAATATTGATGTTAAAGAATCACTATTTTTGATTTTAAAAAATCAAATTTGGAATTGAATAGACCTTTAAAGACAATTATTTTTATCCAACTTAAATAATTAATTATTTGATGCATTCTGCAGCTTGAGAAAAAGGGAAATGAATTCATAGATGGAATAAAAATGTACTTGGTCGACATCTCACCTGCCATTAACAAAACATCTCAATATGCTCTATACACGCAATCGGGCTAGCAATAATAGCGAATAGATGCAAATCAGAGGAACACGTGCACAGAATAAACTGGAATAAGAGGACAAACCAGCTACTTAGGGTTGGAACAACAGAACATGGCAGAGGTCAGAAGCAGAGCTGAGCATGCGCACTACAACACACAGCACCAAAACACTGACACGGAGCAGAAGTGGCTTAAAAGGGCAGACAAGGCTAGATAGCAGCTAAGGGTGGCTGTGTGTGTAGTGGACATGTCATGTATGTGTGTGTGTCTCAGGTTGTTTCCCATTAGTTTTATGATGCAATGGACACGACCCAAGAGACACTTCAAATTCAAAGAGGAACCCTAGAAACTGAGACACACACAGGAGCAGCTGCTGGACTGTACACAAACTAAAAAAAAAAAAAAAAGAGTGCATTTCGTCCACACGCTCTCTCACATACACATTCGCAAACTGAGTCTGAAATGAGACTTGCACATAAACAGAGGAATCATCTGAGTCCATGCTCGTGTTTTCGGTTCATACTCACTCCTTTCCATCTTTAGAAGGAGAATTGCAGGCATTGGAAGCCGGGGCTGTGTTAGGGTGGGTGTGTGTGTTCAGGAGGCTTCCAGAGCTGACTTTTTCCAGCGTGCAGGCGGTACCTATTGCCCGGACCACCAAGCCCGACTCTCCCTCCAGGTCGAAACACTGCAAGTAGCCCACCACTGCATTCCCACCCATCTCTAACACCTTAAGCCCTATTTTCCTCTGTAGCTCTCCTGAATAAGATGTGACACACAAATCATGTTAGAAAGAGAAATTTCACTTGTTCCAAAAAAAACACAAAAACAGGAGGGGTTCTGGCCCTCTTACCAGACATGAGAGAGATAAGCCTTTGACGAGCTTCGTTAGAAGCCCGAGGAGTTCTAATACGGTCTATCCACTGGTACTCTGGGTCTTCGTTCACCACCAGTTCCTCCACAAACCCATGCACCGTGGCTGCCCGATAGCCCCGTGGAATGGACATAGCTGATGATCATTTAAAACAGTAACCACATGGAGTGAAATTAATTTGGACTGAAAAGAAGTTCCTTCTAATCATGAGCAGCTTTCCACTTTTAGAGATAACACTAAAATGGCTGCTCCTTATGTCTTTATATACAACAGCTTTCATGCATTGCTTTCTAAGTCACCTCAGTACGTAATGATGTTTATGAACCAATTCAACTGTATTGTGAACTATTGTGAACAAAACTTAGGTCAGACATACTGCAGAAAAACTTGACTCCACACGAGGACTGTCTAAAGCGGTTCAAGTCGTTGAAGAGCTCCACTTTGACGAGAACATTAATCTCTCCTCGTATCCCTAGGGATATATGATAAGAGACAAAGAGTGAAGTAAGGATTGGCTAAAGGTTCATTAACAGTTTCATTAACATGATAAAATAAGGGAAATCTTGTACCGTGAATGGTATCATAGATTGGAAACCAGCCAGAGATGACGGAGGCGGCCTCAGTACACAGCAGCGGGTCAATGTCAATGTAAACTTTCCCTATGGCATCGTTAGCACTGTAAGTGTCATGATCCAATACTGTAATCTGCAAAGGCTCGTCCTGCAAGTCTTCATCGTCAACCTACACAGAAAAATAGATTTTAAAACAAGGAGCAGCATGAGTATGACGAAAAAGTAGACATATGAAGCTGAAAGAACTGCAGTGAGGCTCAAAACCATTTTACCTCAAACTTGAACCACTCTGAGTTCCACTGAGGATTAAGCGACTTGGGATAAACATCTGTCTTGAAAGTTGTATTTCCAAACTTGACCTGAGAAATAGATGTGCACACAACCTTTAAAAGCATTGTTTAGTAATTACGATGTACTACACTAACTATATCATTATGGCTCTGCTTAGGATTAATTCGGGAAAATGTTATGTAGACTTCTACAATGTGTCCGAAGCATGAAAACAACCAGAGCAGCTCACAATCTCAAACAATGTCTTTAAAGTGAATATGCTAAATACTTTATTTATTTATTTCATAAAGCGCTTATGCAACAGACATGACAAATAACCACAAAATAGGCCACAGACCACTGGGACCAAGCAAGAAATCCTTATAGACACTATGCCAAATATTTAGGGAATGAAAGTGCCAATATGTGAATATGATTACAGGTTAATTATGCAAATGTGCGTCGTGCCCCCCTACCTCTACAAAGGCGTCGGTGAGGTCACTGGCTCTGTCCATCACAGGCAGGTGGCGACCGGCCACAATTTTGGCCTTGAGTTTCCCTGGCATGTTTCAAGTTGCTCTGCGAACATATAAACAACAGTGAATGCAGCAAAAGCTTTCCAGCAGACAAGAACCACGATAAACGCTGCCGTTACTAAGGATAGCTTATATGTTGCTGACATTATGGACAGCCCTTGCTTCTATGTACAACCTCATTAGCAAATAAGCTAACTTTTATAAGCTAAACTTTTTTTTTGCTTTATATTCAATAGCTCACCAATACCAAAACAATACATTAAACAGCCGTTTATAACAAGACAACGGTCACAACTTAGCTATATTGTGTTAGCAAAGCATGGCTAGCATGAAAAGCCACTTAGGTTAACTGCATTGCAGTCAGTATCTCGTTAGCTTTAGTTACCTGATCGGCCATGTTTTTACGACCATCCCTGTAGAGCCACCACCTATGCTACTACTAAATAAGCTTCCTACTTCTAAAATAAATAGCACAATGCTTACCACAGCTCCAATATGATCAGGCAGCTGTCAGAGCGGCAGCAGGCTTGTTTTACGCGGACATTATTGTTGACAGCCCAACGTTCGTCTGACCTCCGTGTCCCTGCCATACCACGAGAAGATAGTTCCCATTACACCACGCAGGAAAAGTGTCGATCGATTTAGAAATGTTCACAAGCTGATATTGCGACTATACGTGCATAAATATATTACTAACTGTGTCAGAGTGACATTACAATCCATTAGACAGGCTACTCGTCCCTCTTTGGCGCGCATAGAAAACGCCTGGGTTGATTAGGATCAAGCGCATGATGAATGAGTTTTCACGGGTTCAGTGTGCTGCTTTCACTGTCACCTCGTAAAATTGTGCATTACAATGTTAACATTCAGCGGGAGCTGAGAAAAAACTGAAACATTAAATAAATACAACTGAGATTACATCTAAAACGTTACTTAAATAATATTAGCCCCGGCTCACGTCTCATCAAATGCTATGTTAAGAAAATACGTAATTAGGCTTTCTTCCAGACACGAGAAACATTGTCAACTGGGTAAACTTTCAGGGCACTTTTGTCAGCGGATTCAGGTCAGTATGAGAAATAAATGCTTACGAAGCAATTTCATAGTGGCATTAAGCTGACAATAGGATGTCATCCAAGTAAAAAAGTACCTAAATGTCTATTTCCAATGGCATTAGAAGACGTATGAAAAAATGAAATATTGTATTGCAGAAAAAACTTCAAACAAAGAAAAGCAACTTCAGACACATTTAGAGGCCACCTCTTTTACGTCAAATTCCAAATTTATGGGCAATGTAGTTTTATTTGGGCCGGGCAAATATTAACTATACTGCTGCTGTAAACACATTTTCACCCACAGACTCTGACTCTCTTTTTTCTATTCAGTTAAGCTGACACAATGTTTACTATAAAACCACAATGTCAGCATAGTCTCAGGAGACATCCAAACTTCACAAAAAGGATATCTGGTTATGACTTTTTAAAAATCTTTTTAATGATACAAACAAATTTTGCTGTGAGCTTGGGTTACATGAATAAAGGGAATTAAACTTATTTAATTTAGCCAGATTCAATTAAATCTGAGAGCATCTGCAATAGCAAACCCAATCCACAAAGCTTCCATGTTGTTACCCAGAGGACCCATGGGGCCTACTTTTAACATCCAAGTTAGAGAACTGTCTTAAGACATATCCCAAAAATCTTTTTGACCATGCCCCGACTGGATAGAGACTTGTTTATGGCACGAGGACAACCTGGTCAAATCTGGGAAGGTGGTCACAATGTGTATATCTATTTTATTCTTGGACGTTCCATAACTTTTTCAAAGTTGCTGCTAAACTACATGTCATGGCACTGACTGTTGTGCCAGGTGGATTTATCTGAATTAAATAGCACGACTCACAGCTTGTCACCCTCAGTCCACATGCAGGTGGTCAGACTCGTTGGTATTTGTGGTCAGCATTTGCTTGTGAAGACAAAGCACAATGCCATCTCTGGCCCAAGATTAAGTTACAGATGCATGGCTGTATACGCATTCATGTAATGACCAAACTTATTTTATGTTAACATTTTATCCTCACTTAAATGACTGTCTGAAACCTGTTTGCAATTACCAGCATCTCGCATTTAGAGAATAGTGACATAATAAATATAAAAGCATAATGTAAAGACATGGAGAGGACATAAGTTAAGGAAGATGCAGATCTTAAAATAGATAAAATGTCAAAGCAACATCAGGTGTCTCTATAAAACACGTGTTTTTGTTCACGTAGGCCCACAAAACATGTCATCACTCACACAGCAATGAATAGAGTCTGAGGTCACTGACAGTCAACACTTTCCAACCTCTGATGGACTCTGACAGCTGTGGATGTAAAGAAGTATAGCATAAAGATATGATGAAACCCCTCCTCATTCAGCCATCAGTTCTCGTGTCTTGTTTGACTTTGTCTTAGAGACAATGCAAAAGAAGAAAAAATCCTCTGAAATAGTCTTTGTGGTTAACAATGACACTTAACAACACTAATTATGAGAAGAAGAATTATTGCTGACAGCTGACAACCAAAACAGAATAAATTCATTCAGTCTTTTAATAACGTAAAGATTTGTTGAGCATTGTCCATCTTATGAACACTTTTGTTTTTGTTTAATTGCCTCAAACCTTTGATTTTGCCTGATGAAAACTGTTATTTGAATTATCCAGCTTAGCCACGAACAGTAGCTGAATGTGTGCACCACGTAGTGTGAATGGTGGAAATAACATATGAAAAGTTATGCAGCAATGTGACATCTGTTGCTCAGCGGCACGAGAAAGCACAGACATGTTTGTTGTTGCTTACTGACATACAATGTTAACAAATATAATATTTTATAATTACACTGCTTGTGACTGTGTTAGTCGAGATTGCTTATCCTAGAGAAAACAAACATGACCAGAGATGGATAAGGGCACTGTGAGGAATACTGAATGAAAGCTTCTTCTTGGCTCTGGTAATATCCACAAGATGACGTAGACTTACAGCTGCGTGACAGGGGAACTAATGGTTTATTAGGAATCATTTCCATTTGTTTGAAGGTAACTGTTGTATTTTTCAAGGTGGGGCTATACTTAAACTCTTGAGTTTTTTAGTTAACAAGCAGGGCTTTTCTATTAATCCTGGTGACAGGCCAGTAATTTCTGACTGACAGCTGGGAGGTGCAAAAGGCCCAGCTGCTGGGTTACATAGAAAAATACTAGACATCTTCTTGCAACCTTACTTTGGGGAACCAGTGAGGCAGTTGCCAAACCACAGTGATATTTCAACAACTTTTGGTGGAAATTTTGTAAGAAAACATTGGATCTGCATGCTGCCGACAGGGTTTGAAGCAGCCGAAAAACAGCCTTGAGCCAACCATTGACATTCCTGAAATTTCCCATCATGGCTTTCATAGCATGTCTTGGTGTAGTGATCCATCTTCTTTGCGGAGGATCTTTGGGCTCCATGCTTAAGAGTATAAAAGCCAGAGCAGTTGTGTACAATGATGTTCCATCCCTGTTCTGTATGTTATATTGAAGGAGGGATTTCCTGTTAATCCTCTGTGCATTCTTACGCTTCATATCTTACAGCATCTTAGCATTTTCTTTCTCAAAGGAGCAACAATGTCTGATGAGTAAGTTCTGCTGTCACCTCATGTTATCACCTGTTACTGTCTAGAATGCTTGCTGGCCTTAGAAATATTCAGTTTAATCACCTTGTATTTTTTGTGTGTCCTCTTTTTCTCCATCCTGCGGTCCAACAAAATGCTCAATGCCATCACAGTTTTGTAAGTTTGCTTGCCTCACTACACCAAAAGGGTAAAAAAACAACATTTTGAATCCTTGATTAATTCTTCTTTGTTTTTTTTCAGTATCCAGAACCCATGCCCCCAAAGGCAGAGACAAAGGTAGTGTTGTAATCAAATATCAATAAATTGACAAATAGCATGATGATAAGCATTTTTATGTTTGTGTTGTTTGTGTTGTCTTTTTACAGTTTTCAGCGTCATAATTGAGCACAATCTATTTATTTACTATCTGCATGTAATGAGCTGCATGTTCAAATCCTGCACCCAACGCACAATATCATTATTTGACCCCACTTGCTCTGCAGTTACAATGATTACATATCAGAATAACTGTCTTACGAACAGTAATATTCATGCATGGTATATTGGAAATAATCATCAAATATATCATTCATCATATATGTTGTACTAATCAAATGCAATTTCCTTTTGTTGAAAGTAATATTAACCTCTTTTCAAGAACAATGGAAGTGAATGTCATGTGTCCTGGTGATATTTACAAAAGGAAGAAAGTGGAAAAGGAATAAAACAGGTTTGGTCACAGCCCAGAGCCATGTGAAACTAATCCCCTCGTAGGGATTAGTATGGGAGGTGTATCATTTACAAGTACGAACTGGCATTACTGAGAGAAATAATCCAGTTAAAAGTTCATATAAGTGGCTTGCTGCCATATATCTGCTTACATCACTTTAAAAAAAAAAACAGCTTCTCTTTGCTTTCCTCTATTGGGTTACATTTATTCACGCTGTGTTTCTTTTACAAAAAAAGTCATCTAGTCATCTCTGAATGGTCAATTAATTGATCCTCAATGTCCCCGTGGTAAGGGTGTCTGAAATTGCTTGGGGATTTGATACTCTACCTTCGGAACCGTCAGCGGGTATTGTGACTTTGTAAACATTTTCTATCCACCAAAAGCAAAATGGCTGAAGACATGATATATGAGGGGGATTAATGCTTTGTTTAAAGCCACAATAACATCTGACATTTTAGAATGATGAGATTTGTTGGGATGCATTCAAACAGATTAAAAGAAACTTATTCTTATAAAAGAAACCATTGTTTTTAACTCTGCTAGATGTTGAGGTCACAAGAATGCTATTCAAAGAAACCTTTAACGTGTCATATTGTGAATTATTTTCAGCCCAAATGTAAGATTTCAGCATCACGCAAGTTATCTCTGAAGGTAAATTCCTAATATGTAAGATATGCATTACCTTTCAATTCTGCATGCGACCAAAACATCAAACTCCTATAATTACACTCAACAAAAAAATAGAAAATGCTGATTGAAATATTTTTGAACTGACCAGATCCTTCTGCTGACTCGGGCAATGGAGGAGCTGGAGGCAGAGAAGGTTGCTCGTGAGGACGAGAAGGTTCGTTATCTGGGAGAGAAACTGCCTCCACTGCAGCTCGGGGGTTTAAACATGGAAGACCTGCAGGTCAGAGCGACTTCCTAACAGACTAACCACGTCTTTCATGTACTGAAACTATGTCAGCATGATTGAGTTTTGTTTTGTTTGTTTCTTTTTTTTCTTTTTCAGAAACTCTGCAAGCAGATGCATGAAAAGATTGAAGTGGTGGATGAGGAGCGGTATGACTGTGAAGCCAAAGTGATAAAGAACATTAGAGATGTATGAACACATTCTACGACACAGAAGATTCGACTGAAACATTTCTCAAAAAGGCCCTGAATTTTTTTTTCTTCCCATGAGTAGATCAATGACTTGACACTAAAGGTGCGAGACCTTGGAGGGAAGTTTAAGAAACCGGCACTGAGGAAGGTGAGGGTTTCAGCAGACGAGATGCTGAGAGCTTTGTTTGGATCCAAAAATAAGGGCTCTATGGACCTAAGGGCCAACCTCAAGTCTGTGAAGAAAGAGGACATCAAACAAGAGAAGGTATGACTGCACTAAAAGACACAATCCTGCGATTTGTATAGATCTGATGAGTCTAATTACCTGAATGTGGGATTCAGGAGCTGACAATGGAGGTGGGTGACTGGCGTAAGAACGTGGAGGCCATGTCTGATATGAAGGGCAGGAAGAAGATGTTTGATGCTGCAGGTGGTGCCCAGTAGAAGAATCCCTATGGTGCATTCACAGCGCCTGCTGTTGCTGAGTAAGACAGTGTGTACCATTGGAAATCATTGCCACGGGCAGTTATAATAATTTTGCTCTAGTCATCTTCATCGCAAGATTGCTTTTTTTTGTCAGAAATGGTGAACTTTGTTTGTGCAATTTATTAGTTTGTTTTCACATGAATAACCTATACCCAACGTACTCAAGTGCCAAATGACACCGTTACAACATATGATGAATTTGTGACTGTCGCCTTAGCTTTTGCAATATCTTTTATAAAAATTCAATAAACGCAAAGTCAAAATGCCCAAATTTGAACAGTTGCACATAATGTTTAAAGGTACACGAACATTTCAATCAGTCAGAAATATACTGAGACTAAAGAATTTCAGCGATAATTGTACCACACTTAAGATTGTCCTCCCACACGTATGAGCTTGTCACGGCTGTTCTTCACAGGCTTCAGAGTCTCTCGGCTAAGTTATGCCACTAACTCACAGTGCCAACTGATATATTTTCTGTCAGAGCAGAGATATACTTAGCCTTTTCTCTTGCCCTGGAATGAATTCCTTTCCAGTAATAAACAGCAAACATTGTCACACACACCAGCAGTTGTCCTTGCACAGACATCAAAGAGTGTCAGGAGACTGAATGATGGAGGATGACAGGATGGAGTCAGCAACCTTTAGGGATTTTTGAGAGTGCTATAAAGCATTATTACATATAGACCATTCTTGTTTGAATATTTCTTAAAGCTGAACATTTTAAGTTGGGCTTTTCTTAATATTCCAAGATAATATTTCGTTATTTCTATGTTCTATAAGGGTTGCACATGTGGATATATGAAAAAGTACATGGCAGTTATCACATTTCTGAAATATTAATATAATAACATTAAAAGAATTATATGCTTCTATGAAAAAATAATATTTTATAATTTTACCTGCACAACAGTGATGGGACACTAAACATTCCTCTGAAAATATTCAGGTAAAAGAACAAGTTTTAAAATAATTAAAAGACCAACTTGAAACCGTGAGAGCTCAGATCAGTTTCAATAATTCTAAGGAAGTCTGGGCTATGAGGCAAAACATAAGAAATGGGGGGTGATTCAGGACATTGTGTTGCATAAATTTACTGTGAAATGCTAATGCGGCTTCTTCCTAAATTCACTAAAAAACAGACTAAATCGATAGCGCCCCATTCATGAAATTCCTAAAAAAAACCAATATCAAAATCCTTTGTGCACTTTAGTGATTTAGTACAGTCTGAGCAAGAGATCTTGTAAACTTCAATTGTAGATATCCATTGTAAGAAGTTTCTTTACAATTTACTAATAAAATTATATTCATTCTCTGCTGTGAATGTGTGACACATTAGTCACACTGGCAAGCAGAGTGGCTTTCAGATCCCACATAATGGCACAAGGTACAACATCTGGATCAGGATCTGAACATGAAGCAGCACATTACCCTCTCATATTAACTAGCATGTTTAACAGGTTTCCAGATACCAGACCAAAGTTGTTCAGAGGATGTATGCAGAAGATATCAAACCAGTGTTCCTGCTCTCAGGCAAGATACATCACACCTGTAAAACAGTTCATGAAGCCTCAACTTAAAGAGCAGCCAGAATTTGCATGTGTTTGTTTGTCTCAGTATACAATTTGCATTTCTTTCAAAAACAGCTTAAACGATCACATTAAAGGACATAGAAATGTAAACAAGGAAGTGATTTAGTTTAGCAGGAAAATACGTTTATTCCTATAATTTAAGGCTCTACAGCATGTCCCTGAGAGAAAAGACTCCACAACCCCACAGTAAAATAGAGAAAAGTCTGGCAGAAATTGAGAAATAAACTATGACTAAAAATGACTTATTTTCAAAGTAAACTCAGAAGTGTAACGAAGTAAAAAGAGAACATTAGACATTCAGGCAAGCAAATATTGGTTAAAACGAAACAAAAACAACTTAAAATCAAATCCCACTCCCCTAAAAAGTGTTAGAAACCAAAATCAGCATCAAGGTCAGAGACCAGCAATGAGCAGAAGTGTTCCCTATCCTTACCAACAAGTGAGATGACATGCATTCATTGTCAAACAACTAAAATGAAAGGCACAATGTCACAAAACTGGAATGTGAAGAGTAAAAAAAATGTTGCCATTTACCTCAATTTTGAAAAATATAAATAGATTTTTTCACACACTACATCTACTCACCAAGTTCACTAACAATTTAAAAGGAACATATATTTTATGTAAAGCAGCAACATGAGGAAAAACAAAAAAAACAACCCTTCAGTTTTTCCATATAGTCTTATTTAAAACATAAAACATAATGTTTGATTTTTCTCTGTTCTGAAAATAATATAGGACCTTCTAACTTCTCAAATTTGAGCCGTTCTCACTGTAAAATACACCTGAGTAATGGCATATGAACTGTTCCAACAACACACCAGTTCAGACTTTCCACACATTAAAACTGTTTGTGCATTTGACTAAATTGAATTGACTATAAATAACCCTTGCATATTATTCAAATCAATTAAGAAAGCATTTATGAGACTTAAATATTTTATATTAAGTCTTGTCCCAACTTTCTGGAAAAACAGCCCTCAGTGACTGAATGTCCCTCCCAGCAGAGGAGAACCCCCGTTTAGTTGAGATGAGAATAAAAAGAGGACAGTACTTAAAAAAAGTAAACTGAGGTATATCTTTTTGACTGGACATAAAATCAAATAACCTAAAAAACAAAATGTTATGAATATGAATTCTTCTGAAATTTGCAATACCACAAAAATCGCAGATATTATTCCCAAAAACGGAATAAAGACCGAGTCAGAATCATGTGCAGGACTGACATTAATGATACATGACACACCACATCTGTGCGTGTCAATACATCTCTGGCATGTGCCTCAAAAGTTAAGTTTGTCTTCTGGTTTGAGTCTTTTTTTTCTTTCTTTTTTTTTGCAGCCTGTAGTGCAGATCAGGGCTTTCGTCAATAACAATGTTCTCGGCAGTATCTTCACATATATAATCTAAAAGTCTGTGGAGCTCTTCAGCCTGTGCCCTCTTGAGTAGTCTGCTGCATATCCAGTGAAAAGCTGAGCAGTGGTCACTGCTTCCACCTGCAATGTATCCTGAGCAAAGGAAGGAGGCACCCAGTCCAGTGTCACCTTCTCCGATCGAGGGTCAGCAGGTGTTTCAAACACACGACACAAGTCATGGTCTGGCCTTAAAGTGCTTTCGTTGCCATGGTTGTAACTATAGCGATGTCATGATGCGGCAGCAAGTGACCAGGTCACTTGTGGTTTGCTGACATCCGCCGGTTCCACATGCCCCGTTTGGAGTGATGGTGGTGGAAAAAGTTCCTCAAATAGATCCTCTCCACTTCCAGTCCACGCTGGAGGATCCTAGAGAAGAAAACAGGTAAAAAGGAAACCAAAAAAAAGGAATTTATGTTTTTTTTTTGTAAGAGTATCACACTTATCTATGCCACTTGACTGAATATATTACTTTTGCTGCTTACTTAAAGTATCTTAGACTTGAAATTACTTACGAAAAAGAGGCAGCATAAACAACTATTGACAACAAGTACTGTACACTTCTAAGTTATTAAGATGCATAAGTTGCTCATGTACATCTCTGGTGGTCCAGTTGCTATGATTTCCATAAGGTGGATAATGCCTCAATGGGCCTGAGAAATCGTGCCTGTTTTTGCTTTCTCACAACATCTGAGACATCAATAGATATTAAAGCAAAACATTAAAAAGTGGGAAAAAACTATTTTATCCATGTGCTAAAAAATAATTAACAGAAAAACAAAAAAACATGATAATCTAAAGTGGCAAAACTGACCATTTCATTTACATAAAATCAGTCCTGACAACTTTATTTCTTATACCTGATAACCTTTTTTCCTGAGACTGTTCTGAGTATGTCCTAAGATGTACACGGTAGGTGAGAGATGTTAGAAGCACCATCCAGAATAATTAGTTAATTTGCTAAATTTTTATTGGAAACATTTAAAATTAGAAAAACAGAAACAAGTAAGTCTACCCAGTCAGAAATTTCGAAATGGGACACACACCTGTCGAGGAGCTCCCAATCTTCTCCTCCCCAGCGATCTTTATATTCCATGGTGTTCATCCCTCCAACTGCAATAAGGTCAGATTTGTAGATTCCCAGCAATCCAAAGCCGTTCACCTCCCAGTAACCTGCAAACATACAGCAGACTGAAGCATTTCTCAGGCCTATACTGCATCTAGCTGTGCATTAGTTTAATATGGTCAAATATTGAGTCCTGCTTTCATTGGAAACTTCTTAGGAATGTCACTTCCTGCCAGCTCATAATGCTGTAAGTCACTTCAACACAGTCAACTGGTGGAGTGTTTGTCTGAGGGTCTGTTGTTGAAGCCTAAACTATAAACCACTGACATAACCTGTATACACATCATTCAATTTATTTGTAATTCTTCAAAGCAGTCATTTGCTTAAACTGAGCAGTCAATGATAAATTCAGCTGACAAAGAAACCAGAAAGCCAGGCCACTTTAATGATTTCAGAGGTAACTAAAGGGATAAACAGTCATTTTGACCTGAAGATTGAGAAAAAATTACCAGTGATTTTAAAGGCCAGTGAGAAATACAAATACCACAATAACGTCAGACTTAAAGTGACTTGTAATGAAGTTCATTTCTGTATATCTGCACGTAAGCAACAGAACTCTTGACCTTTTAAAAAAGGTCAAGAGTTTTCTGTGGTGCACGTTTTTGTGAATGAATAGGAGTCAAAAGTGTTAGTGTATTTGCTCACCTCTGGCCTCAAACGGTGTAACTCCACAGCCCAGTCTGAGGACTATGGGGGCAAAAGCCATGTATCCCTCCACACAGTGCTTCCTAATGGTATCAATGATTGATGGAGGAAAAACAATGTGGAGATCACAAAGGAACACAATGCTGTGGTCATCCTGAGATGGAGTGAGAAGAAAAAGATTCAGAGGAAGGTAATGGCATCTGTTAAGACATTTAACTTCTTTGCCTTTGAGCAGTACTCACATTTATTTGGTCGATTCCTGCCTGTAAGCCAGCCGAGCGCTCGAAGTTCCCACTCAGTTTCACATACTGGTACCTGTCCAGGAGTATGAAATATAATGAATGCTATCTTATACATCCTTCTAATGAGGAGCAGAAACACACACCTGGGGAGGGAGGATTTCTGAAGGGCCTTCCGAACGTCCATGTCAGTGCTGCTGTAGTCTGTAATGATGAGGTTGAAGTTCGTGTCTCCCGTTTCTCTGAACAGTTGCTCCATATCGTTAATCAGCTGCTGCACCCAACGAGCCTGATTTTTCACTGAAAAAGACGTTTAATAAGTTGTAATGTCACAATATGTAAATATATCGCACTGCCTTTAACATGAACCACATGTTACACATATATTACAGAAAATAAATTTCATAATGAGATTTCTGATGCAATAGTTTGGAATCCTTATTATTAAGTGTTTTCAGCGGCAAACGGAAAATTTGTATTTAAGTGATAGAAATTAGGCCTTGGATACACAAAAGCTGTGACTCCATTACTGATAGCTAAATAACAGCAGACAAAGCACAAAAGAAAGACTTTTTTCCTTTGGATTATAAAACTGTGTCTGAGGAATCAATGCTTTCAGGAGATCTTGGACTTTCCAGTATGCTTGCATCCTTCAAATTTATTTTAGCTTACCAGGCACCACGAAGTGGACCATAGCATCTGGATTCCAGCGAAAGCCCACCGGGTTGCACTGAACCAGCTGAGGTTTCGACAGCATGAAGTTGAAGTCTCTACTGTGTTGTCTGCTGTGGCGAATCAGAGCATAGATGTATTGCGCCAGACGCAGCAGCTGGCCGTTGGCATCTTTCAGCTCCAGCTCCAGCAGGTAGCGACTGCCCTGAGCACCGTCCGGACGCTTCTCAACGTTAATGACGCGCATCAGAGTGAACCGCCTAGATGAGAGTAGAGGAGTGAATATAACAGTGACGTAGGCAGACAAACATCATAAGAACATCTCACAGTCATATGAGTAGCATTTTGAAGTTAATGTGTAGGCTTCTCAAACTCATCTATGACTAAAGGAAGACCGTAAACAAACAGAAAAAAGTCCAAAACACTACTCAAACAAGTATCAAAAGAAAAAGTGCTCTTTATGTAGCAGTCTAACTTCTGTCAGATTTTTTCATATCAAAATAATAACAGGAGTTTTGGCTTTGCTGCATGTCCTCCTACTGTCTCTGTCCTCATTTCCTATCCCATAATATTCCAATAAAAACAATCTTTCAAAAAAATAAAATAAAAACAATCTTTCAAAAAGAAAAGAAAAAGGGTGAAAAAAGCCAATATCACTCCGAAAAATATTGGTAAAAAAATTAGGCAAAAATTGTCAAATTGTTCCACAGTTCCATTAGTCTAATTTCTGCTTCACCAACTGGAATGATAATTAAACTCTTATTATTCCTTTTGGTGGTGGTTCTGCATTACTCACAGATTTATGTAATTCATATTTAGTTTTTAGAATTTTCCTGACTTTATCTTCCTGCTTATTAATCTTTCACATAAAAAAATGACACTAACAATGAAAAAAAAAGGTTGCCTAGCAGACAAAGTATTTATCTGCATGTTCAGAATCATAAGAGAATAATTAAACCAACACCAGAGACAGTATGTAAAACTCAAATGAGAACAATCACATGGCAGCCTACAGGTGCATACACACACACACACACACACACACACACACACACACACACACACACA